CCCCCACCCCCTGCCTGCCCTGTGCTCTTCTCGGCACCCCGTCACCTCCGCTGCCCTCGCTCAGCCCTTTCCTGCGCCCCCATCATTTCCTCGGCACTTCTTCACCTCCATTGCCCTCTGCATCTCCATCACCCCCTCTGCGCCCGCATCATTCCTGGACGTCCTCCTTCCTGAGCGCCCAGGAGCTCCGTCACCCCCTTCCTCACTCCTGCACCCCCCTCAGCGCCTCTGCACCCCTTCGCTGCCCTTGTCCTTAGCACCTCCATGGCCCCTGTCACTTTTGCCTCTGACCCCATCATCTCGTTTCTCTCTAGCCCCTGCCCCATCTCTCCCATCCTTTTCTGCCCCAGCCGTCTTCCTCCTCAATTCCTATCACCATCCTCAACGCCTAGTCTCCCTCATTTACTTATTTCACTTTCCCCCATCGCATCTGTCAGCCCGCCACCCTCTCCCCTGAGACCCCCATACGACTTTGCAGCCCCCATCTTCCCGGCACCTCTTGCTTTAAGCCTTGTGATAACTACTCTCTTTCCAACCCACCCTGGCTCTCCCTTGACCCCGTAATACTGCCATCAGGGCTCTGGCCACCTGGCTTCCACCTTTCACCCCACTCTGGTGGTTCTCATCAACTTAACCATCACTAACCTTTTCTTCCTCCTGCCCTACATACCCCCCAAGACCCAAAGAAACCCACTTTAGTCTGCTTTCCCCCACCCCCACCTCATTTTCCATTCCTATCTGTTTCTTTCCAATCTATCTTTTTATCCTAGGAAATATGTTCTGGATTTTGTTTTTGACAAGAGGAAGAAGGAATTTTTCCCCCTTAGGGAATTAAAAAATCAAAACAAAAATCTCTAAAAGAATTGAGGCCATGAGAGATAGGTTTGTAATTGGACAAGAGACTCCGCGACACACGTTCCTGGTAGGCAGGAAGGGGACTGCCCTTCTGATGAGGATAGAAGCTACGTCACCTTTAACGCCAAAGTCCGCGAAAAGCTTCCAACCATGAACATTTTAAAACTCAGCCAGGGAGACAGACAGGCGCAAAAGTCCCTTTGCCGGGTACTCTGAGTCACCTGCTGTCACCTCAGCCCCCGCTCACAGCCGTGCATGAATTGCTTTGAAAGTTCCTCCAAGGGGCTTCCTCTTCTTCCTCCTGCAGAAACAATGTTGAAAATCATCAAGATAGAAGGAAGGAATTACAGAGCTTGCAACTAGTCCTCTGGAGGAAAGAGCACCTGCGGGAGCAGCTGGGCCTCCAGGTTATTGGGAGCATGGCTTCCTTCTCTTGCAGTAGCTAAATCAGTCTGCTGTATACCAAGGAGTCAGGATAAGGGATAACTGTTCACTGATTGTTTACGTTCTGTCCAGTGCTTTAGTGAAACATAAATGCCAGCCGGGGGGGTGGGGGGTGGGGTTGACTTCATGGCTTTGGGTTAACAAAAGTGGTGTCCACTTCGCCCTGGCAACGATATTTGTCTGCTTTGTAGGAAAGGAACATGAAACCTAGCAACTGATGAAGTAACCTGGCCAGAGGCATAAAGCAAACAGCACATAGTTTTGAGTGGGAGTTAATGATCTTTCCTCTACCCTGTGAAAGTACAGGATAAAGGGAAAGGTCATGCTTGAAATGATCTTGTGGATTTAATGTTTTGTAGAATTATTGGGCATTCTTGTGGGTTGGGTTGTGTCCCAAAACGTGTACTGAGATCCTCACCTTTATACCTGTGTGTGTAATCCTGTTGGAAAATAGGGGTTTTTTTGTTATGGTAGTGAGGCCGTATTTTACCAACCCATAGCTGACCTTCCAGCGGGCTTTTAGAGACAGTAAAGAGGAGACTGCCTGCCAATCTTGCTCCCTCGCAACACCTGGTGGGTTTGAAAGTAACCTTTATCTGTATGTTATTTGTTGGTACCTGCAAGTCTGTTCTGATTTCTAGTGGCTCTGTGTACAACAGACCGAGTATACCAGGTTCCTAGATCTTCACTATTCTCACCATTCCTTGCTAGATTTGAGCCCATTGTTGGAACCACAGCGTCAGTCCATTTCATTGAGCCTATTTCTCTTTTTACATTGACCTTCTTCTCTGTCATGATGTTCAGGCCTGGTCCCTCTTGATAACATGTCGAAAGTGTAGGGTATTGTCTAATGTGTTGTGACTTTGGAAACAGCAAAAGAGTAGATCGGATAAAGAGCTTACTCTGTAAAAAGAAGAGTAATCGATGATGTGGGGACTGCTGAAGAACTGAGGAACAGAAACTAAAAGAGACAAGGACCTTCCCCTAGGCCTTGTGCCCTGAATTTGGACTTCTAGCCTTCTTTTTTGTTGTTGTTGTTGTTGTTTTTTGTGTTTTTTTTTTTATTATTTTGTGCGCATGTACCGTCAAATCAGATCTGACTGGTACAGGAGGATATTGTGCCTCCTTCTCCAGCAGAGCGTCTGGTGGATTCGAACCGTGTTCCTCTGGGATTGCAGGACTTCTAGCCTTCTATACTGAGAAAATAAGTGTATTTTTATTCAAGTCCTCTTCTTGTGCCCTTTTTGTTATAGCGGTACTGAGAACCTAAGACAGGAAATCATAGAGCTGAGCGTCTGTGGCCATGATCAAAATGTCCATTTGATGCTTCGGTAACAAATTATTAAAATGTAGAGGCAAAAAGACTATCTTGATACCATGTATTAGATGCTGTGTTTCAGGAGGACTGATAACCCTCAATCCATGCACATTTCCAAGCAGCTGAAAGTAACGTGAACGTGGAGGAATTCAGGTGACTCAGACATGGAAGACAGAAGACCTCGGCCAGAGGCCAGGCCCAGGAATCCTCAGAACAACCACAGAGGTAAACAAACAAGTTTCCTATGTAATGGAAAGGAAATTTCTAGTGATAAGAAAAGGAAAGACTAAGCAATGGGCCGCTGACCAAAGGACTGGTGGTTTGAACCCATCGACCAGATGAAGTTCTAAAGGTTTAGAGCCTTGGAATCCTATGGGGTAGTTCTATGTCATCCTGTAGGGCTACTGTGAGTCAGAAGAGAGTTAATGCCTGTTGGTGTGGTGAGTGGGCTTGCTTGAGAGTGCCTGTGTCTCACCAGGATGCCTTATTCCTTAACTGCTGCATGGATGACTGAAGAACTGACACTCTACCCTTAGGAGAGGTGATGAATAAATTCAGTTTATTCTGGGAGAAACAGAGATGGGATGTCAGAAATGGAAATAACTATCTAGCCTAGGGCAATGTTAGCCAATAGAAATTTAAAGCAAACCAAAAAAATGCAAATCTTCATTTTCTAGTAGCTTCGTTTTTTTAAGAAAAAGTGAAATTTTCAAAATATTTAATAACATTTCTTTTTTAACCATATATATCAAATTTTTGTGAAATAATTTTTATTATGTAATACTTTAACAATTTTAATACTGTGTGTTATTTATACAGTCAGATACTGGGTATGACATATTTCAAGATGTCATCAGCATGAAACATCTAATGAGATATTTAACTTTTTCTTGATACTAATTCTTCAAAATTTGATGTGTATGTTACCCATTGCCACCTTTCATGTGTTCAGTAGACACTTAGAACTTGAACCCCACTGCTGGAGAGCTAATTCTGACTCAGCAACCCTCTAGGATAGAGTTGAACTATGTTTAAGGCTTTCCAGGGCTGTAAATCTGTATGGAAGCCAGATACCACCTTTCTCCTGTAGAGCAGCTGGTGGGTTCAAAATAGCTGACCTTCCAGTTAGAAGGTGGACATTTGAACTCTACCACCAAGGTCTGTCTCTAGTGTTGGCTGTGTATTGAACAGTACAAGTCTAGAGTCCTGGTCACCAACACAAAGTTAGTTCTACAAGCATCATTGACCGCAGTGATTATTGTGTTTGCTCAGAATTTTCTCAAAGCAAACAAATGGGTTCTTGCTTTTCCCTAAATTTGCAACATAGTATCTGTGAGTGTTAGCTGTGGAATAGAAGAGGCAGTATGAAACTAGTTCATGAGCTGTGGGAGTATTGAAAGAAGTGATACAACTTTGCATTTTACTAAGATACCAAGTCTTCTAATCAGATAAAAATATATGAAAATCTCCCAGTACATGGGGGAAGCAACAAAAGGTTTTCTGTTATCAAATAAATATGCCTCCACCTCCATCCCTAGTCAAAAAAGGAAAATCTCCAAGTGTCTTTGTAGAGTTAACATTTGCTGTCATGATATGGTCCAAGCATCTAGAATAATGTGTTTCTGAAGCTTTCCCAACATCTTTATCATGAAATCATTGTACAAAGTCTGAGTTTATTTGTTTTTAAAATCTCCCAGCCAGTTGGGCGAGTTCCAGAATCAGTTTTGGAGGAAAGGAAAGTGAAACAGGATTTGGGATACATTGCCCGAGGTCACTCACCCAATCTGAGTAGAGTTAGGAAGACTCTCTGATTTTATCTTCTCCTCTGTGTGGGGTATAGTTTTCCCCTCTCCCCTACTTCTTGCTTGTGATTGCTAATAGGTAAATACCCTGGAGTCACAGTAATGGAAAAAAAAGCAGAACTTGAGTTTCACATTTCAGTTTCCTTTTTGAGTTTCGATTTGAGGAGACAGAATTTGAGTTTCCATTTTCTGAAACAAAACTTTGAGTTGTTTTGGTTTGGGTTTTTTTTCCTCTGAAGAGTTTTGTTTCTGTTCAGTTTTGTTATTGTGCCTTTGAATCAGTTTTGACTCACAGTTGACCCTGTGTGACAAAGTAGAACTGTCCCCTGAGGATTTTTAGGCAATTATAACCTTTACTAGAAGATCACTTGATTCTAGAAATCAGTAGCATTTTCTTAACCGAGAAAATAATGACTAGTTATGTTAGTAATGACTAATATAGACAGCTTTTCATGCACCACCAAAATAGAAGTCTAGAAGGATCAAACAACTTGACCAAAGTTACAGAATGAGAATATGAACAAGTTAAAATTTAAAGCAGGTGTGTTTAGCTTTGGAGTGTGTGTTGGCTGTTTGCTAATGTCAAGGAACTAGAAGCAATGAACTTGTCCTTTTTTTTTTTTTAATTATCTTTTTGTGTGTGTACCATCAAATCAGATCTGACTGTTACAGGAGGAGATTATTCCTCCTTCTTCAGCAGAGCATCTGGTGGATTTGAACCATGCGCCTCTGGGATTGCAGTGCAGATTCTTGCCACTAGGCCACCAGAGCTTGCCTATGGTTTGTTTTGTGTTTTGGGGTTTTTTTTTAATCTCGTCTTTCTCACTCTGAAACATAAGATCCTGCTTATCAGGATTAAATGAGATACTACTGTGTTATTCATTGTCTGGCCCGTGGTAGGTGCTGGGCAAATATTTATTCACTTTTCTCCTTTGTACCCTTTTAAAAATAGTATTTTAATTATTTCATATTTTTATATTTAGTGTTTTTTATGGTACATATAGCACAGTAGTAACCTGTCTTCCATTTATTCACACTTTGCAGAAGCTTTTTTCTCTCCAAAAGTCTGCACTCCTTCGTAGTTTTGGGAAGTTAAGAGCATTGTCACTGTTGTCCGGGTGGGTTTTCCTTCTCCCTTGGTCTTTGTGTTCACCTAATGTCCATATTGTGTTTAGGGCCTGCGGATGGAGAACTACCACCAAGAGCTAGAAATCAGGCCAATCACCCCGCTGCCAACGCTCCCAGAGGAGGTGCCAGCCAGCCTGGAAGGCGCCCTCGGGTTACCAACCATCCTGATGCTTCCCGGCAGAGGGAAGAGAGATTCGGGGCCATGGGCAGGAACCCCCATCAGGCAAGGAGGAACCATGAGGGGCAAGCCAATGAGGAGGCGCGAGGCCAGCGGCAGAGTCAGGAGAACGACACCAGGCGGAGAAACGGCAACCAGGAGGGACGGGGCCGCAGACCACCGCGGCCCAGTGAAAACTTCCATCAGTGGCGGGCCCCCTTCCAGAAGCCTGCGGAACAGCAACAGCTGGTGAAGAGACTGGGCTACAAGTTTCTGGAAGGTCTGCTCCAGAAGGACCCGTCTGAGGTGGTCATCACGCTCGCCACGAGCCTGGGGCTGGAGGAGCTCCTGTCGCATTCGTCCATGAAATCCGACTTCCTTGAGCTCATCTGCCGGGTTCTCCGGAAGGCATGCAGCTCCAGAATGGACCGGCAGAGCATCCTTCACGTCCTGGGCAAACTGAAGAACTCGGAATTCCTCAGAGTCTTCCTGCCTGCGTACGTGGTAGGGATGATCACCAAACCCATTCCCGACGTTCGGAACCAGTATCCGGAACACATCAGCAACATTGTCTCCCTCCTCCAGGACCTTGTAAGTGTGTTTCCTGCCAGCTCTGTGCAGGTAACGTCCATGTTTGTTTCCCTCCTTCCAGCTTCTCTTAATGCTTTGAGGGCCTCTGGTGTAAACATAGAAGAAGAGACGGAAAAGAGCCTGGAAAAGGTACAGACCATCGTTGAACATCTGCAGGAAAAGAGGCGAGAGGGCACGTTGCGAGTGGACACTTTCACTCTCGTGCAGCCCGAGGACGAGGGCAGCGTGGAGAGCTACCGCACCATGCCCATCTACCCAACCTACAGCGAAGTGCACATGGACGAGAGGCCCTTCCTTCGCCCCAACATCATCTCCGGGAAGTACGACAGCGCCGCTGTCTATCTGGACACCCACTTCCGACTCCTCCGAGAGGATTTCGTCAGACCCCTCCGGGAAGGGATTTTGGAACTTCTTCAGAGCTTCGAAGACCAGGGCCTGAAGAAGAGGAAGTTTGATGACATCCGGATTTACTTTGACACCAGGATTATCACCCCCATGTGTTCTTCCTCAGGCATCGTCTACAAGGTCAAGTTTGACACAAAACCCCTGAAGTTCGTTCGCTGGCAGAATTCCAAGCGGTTGCTCTATGGGTCCCTAGTGTGCATGTCAAAGGACAACTTTGAGACCTTTCTTTTTGCCACCGTATCTAACCGGGAGCAGGAAGATCTCTGCCAAGGGATTGTCCAGCTCTGCTTCAATGAGCAGAGCCAGCAACTCCTCGCAGAGGTCAAGCCCTCTGACTCCTTCCTCATGGTCGAGACAACTGCATACTTTGAGGCCTACAGACACGTCCTGGAAGGACTCCAGGAGGTCCAAGAGGAAGATGTTCCCTTTCAGAGAAATATCATAGAGTGTGACTCTGATGTGAGTGAACCAAGGTACTTGCTGAAGGGGGGCACATATGATTTCACTTCCTTGATTGAGAATCCCTCAGCCACGGGGAAATCTCTGAGGAACGCCGAGGTCTTGAGACGTCGTCCAGTTAATATCTTAGACCCCAGCCAGTGGCCCTCAAAGGAAGCCCTGAGACTGGATGACTCCCAGATGGAAGCCTTGCAGTTTGCTCTCACGAGGGAACTGGCTATCATTCAGGGACCTCCTGGAACAGGTACGATAAAGACACTTTTCAAAACATTTGCCATCTGTTTGTGAGGTAGGCCGAGCTGGTTGGGCTCGAAGGTCCTGGACCATCTGGTCTATAATCCTCCTCTGAGATGGGCATCAGGCTTGTCTGTGAAGTAGTTGCTCTTGCTTGTCTTAGGGGAACCCACTGTCCTCATAGTAACAGAGTGAAATCCTAAGGTTAGAAAAGGTAGGGGCCGTACTTAGATCTCTGCTTCACGAAGGGAATACTAATTTATTTTCATTTTTTAAGGCAATTATACCGAATATCATTTCCTTTAAAGGCACTATCTGCAAATCCCTGTTTTACATATGTTAATTCATTGAGACTTCACAATTATATGCATTAGAAACCATTATTATGCTCATTTTACAGTTAAAGAGAGTTCTTCAAAGATGAAAAGAAACCTTGACCTCAGGCCTGCCTCCTGTCCCGTGTTTCTCGTGGAGAGAAACCTCTACCTCTCCACCCTCTTTTTGCCACTCTCACCCTGCTCTGGGGCGATAACTGCTATTAGCAATTTGATGTGTATTTTCCAGCCAGTCGTCACTGTTGACACTGGTCTGTTGATATGTTTGAATGTGTGCATGTATATTTTACATACATACATATAAACTTTTTCTACTTTTTTAAAATAACAGAAATGGAATCATGCTCTATGTAAAACAAGTCCACTGCCATCAAGTTGAGTCTGACCCATACCCAGTCACCATTGGGATCGCCCATCTTTCTCCCACGCAGTATTTGAACTGCCAGCCTTTAGTTTAGCAGCCCAGTGCCCTCCACAGAACACCACGAGAGCTCTTATGCTTCGTGTGACAGTCCACAAGTCTTTTTAAAACAACGTAGTACAAAAAACAACAACCCCCCCCCAAAAAAAGTAGTACATGTTATGAGAATCTTTACAGTGATTTTTTTAGAAACTGTATCTCATTTTTACTGCGTTTACATAGGGGTTTTGGTGCTGTCAAGTACGACACAAAGCGACCCTTTGAACAGCAGATCTGGATCTGTCCCGTCCTCGTCGTCTCTGACAACCCTTGACCCCACTGCGGCAGTCGCTGCGGCAGTCTACCTGGTGGAGAGTCTTCCTCTCCTTCAGCGCCCCTCCACCTTTCCAAGCGTGAGGTCCCTCTCCAAGAAATAGCCTCTCCTAGCAATGTGCCCGAAGTAGGAGAAATGAGGCTTCATCATCTTTGCCTCCGAGAGGCACTCCGGCTGCACCTTCCCCAAGACATCTCTTTACATATAGTTGGTGACATTTCCTCTTACATACTTTAGTCATGTTATCAGGAGTGGGCATTCTCTGGAGAGGGACATCTTGTTTGGCAAAATAGAGGGTCAGTGAAAGAAATGAGGCCCTTTAATGAGATGGCGTGACGCAGTGATTGGAACAGTGGGTTTAAAGACAGCTGAGATTGTGAGGTTGGTGCAGGACGGGCTTGCGCTGTACATCAGGTCGCTGTGAGTCAGAGCCAGCCCGTTGGCATCTGACAGCCCAGTATGGCAGAACATAAATGCACTAGAATTCTTACATATTACAAACGAGCTGCAGTGTCCATGTCAGTGGTTAATATATCTTTGGATATTCTGCTTATTTTTTTTGTGATGTTACTCCCTTAAAGATGGGCGTTTACACCAGTAGCTTTAACAAAACTTCTTCCTATAATAGAATACAACTGCCCATTGAGTTTCTGAAGTTGTAACTGTTTACAGAAGCTGTCTGCTCCATCTCCTCCCACTGAGCAGTGGGTAGGTTCAAACTGCTGACCTTTCCGTTAGCAGCCAAGCACTTAATCACTGTCTACCATAATAGTGATAATAAACCAAATGGTGCCTCATAGGGCTCCTAAAGCCATAAGTCTTTATGAAAATAGACAACCACATCTTTCTCCTACAGAGTAGCTGGTGGGTTTGAACCACTGACCTTTGGCCAGTAACGAAGCCCTTAACCACTGAATGACCAGGGCTGTTTAATAGGTATAAGTCACTTCCCTGGCTTCTAGTTGGGTTGGATTTGACCCACAGTAAGACTCCTCAGATCTCCAGGGCCGTAAATATTTTTGGAAGGAGACTCCTTTACAGGAGGAGACTGGTGGAGACACAGCAGCCTGACACATTACACACTGTACCACCAGGGTTCCGTACTGGTTATCATTTTTTTTTTTAAAAAGTGAGAGTCTATGAAATACACTTTTTCTGTTCACTTTCTCCCATAGCCAGTTAACCAGTTCCAACTGATTTTATCTCCAAAACCTCTCTCTACTTAGTTTTCCTACACTTCTCATTTCTGTTGGGAGAGCCAGGCAGGCTTCGGTTATCACTCAGCTGGAAGACGGCAGGAGTCATCACTTGACCGTTCTCTCTCGTCTGTTTTTACTCACTCGTCATTTCCACAGGGAGAGGTCTCCTAGGTCAGAGCCCCATTCGTAGGCTTCCTTGGGACTGGGAAAGTTTGTTTCCACACTTACAGTTTCACTTTCTATTTGTGTGATTTGTTAGCATCCCACTCCTCTGTGAGTCTGTAGGTCTATAAGAACACATGTGCTTTGCTTATTATCTTATTATTGTATTTCAGCATCTACCCAGGGTCTGAGACCAAGTAGACTCTAAAGAAATAGCATTCAGTGGAAGAAATTGTTTGTCATGCTCTATTAGAATCTTCGTTTCATCTGTCATTCCCTTATTCAGCTTTGAATATGTCTTAGGACAGTGACTTTCTTACTAAATCTGGTATAATGTAGGAACTTAGTGGCTTATAGAGCCAATTAATGAATGGTTAATTATTAATGGACCTATAACTCTGATGCAGCACTGATTTCTATGATGAGTTTTCCCTGTCATTGCAAAGGAAGTCTGTCATGATGCATGACAGCATTTCTAAATAATTCTCTAGGTGAAGCCAAAACAACCTATTTGTCTATCAATGGGGAACAGAATTTAAAATACCTTACAGCTATAAAAGGAATTAAAAAAGAGCAAGAGAAATGAGATGAAAGAATTCTATGTACTTTATAGAGAACTGCCTCTAAGATATATTAATTAAAAAAAGCAGTATACAAAACTGAAAATTGGCCATTATCGTTCATATTTTTTAAAACAGGTGGGATGAAGAAGGTTAGAAAAAGAATATATATATGTATGCATATTTTTAAATATATGTTTAGAGGAAGTGGGTTTTGGATTTGAAATTATCTTAATGTAGTACCTTGAAAAGAAAAGAAAAAAAAAAGATGCCTTAAGTACTTACTTACTCCTTTTTAAAAGTCTGTAACTTTTTTGATACTCTCATTCTTTCTGTTTTCCAGGCAAAACCTATGTGGGTCTCAAAATTGTTCAGGCCCTTTTAGCCAATGAACATGTTTGGCAAGTTAGTTACCAGAAATTCCCCATCTTGGTGGTTTGCTACACCAATCATGCTTTGGACCAGTTTCTAGAAGGTAAGGTCTGGAGGAAAAATTGTTTTGTATCAGGATGTTTATGGATAAGCCTGAAACAATACTGTCAGCAACTTGAGTAGCTTTCTGTTGCTCTTGGAATAAGCACGTAGTCCTTTTCACGCCCTTCAAGGCCAAGTGCATTCCACCCCAGCCTAACTCTGGACTTCATCTCCCACCTGTTCTGCTAACACTAGCCATGCTGATTAGCCTCCGTTCCTTGAGATCCTCCAGCTTCTCCCTCAGCCCCTGTTTCCTATTCCCTTCCTTTCATCTTGAACCCATCCGGCCTAGCTGGCTTCAACTCGTTCTTCAGGTCTCACCTGAAATCTCTCTTCATCAAGTGGATTTCCTATACTCCTGCAATAAAATCATGTCTCCTGTGGTATTTTTCTCTTTAGAAACTAAGCATATATGTAATGAATTATTTGTATCTTATATTTTGTCTGTCTCTTACCTTTGTCCTACACTTAACGGCATCATGTACTTAAGATGCTTCTTACACTTACTACAGTCATGATAACTTGTTTAAAGAGGATTTTCTTTGCTAGATGTATCCATGAAAACAAATCAGGAACTGCCTCTGTTTTGACTGCTATACCTTAAGCGCTCAGCACATGCCTGACAGATCATAAGCAGTCAGCAGATTCTGTAGGATGATAGCTTAAGAGTACGTGCCTCGTGCCTAGAGCTCTCGAGAGGTGATCTCATGGATCCTTGCTGTAACTATGTGAAGAGGGACCTCACCAAGCAGACCCACTGCCCTCGAGCTGATTCCAGTTCGTAGTGACCCTGAAGGACAGACTCGACCTGCCGCGACAGGTTACCAAGGGTGAAACTGTCACAGAAACAAACTACCAGCCGCATCTTTCCCTTGAGGAACGTCTGGAGGGTTTGAACTATTAATAGTTCATTCATCAGATGAGTGCTTAAAACAGGCCCAATTAAGTACCTTGGCCCAAGTTACATGGTAATAAAGCTTGTAGCCAAGATTTGGGTCCTCGCTTCTCTGATTCCAAACCCTACAGGCTTTTGTGGGGTTTTTTTAAATAACTATTTATTTTATTATGATTTGAGTGAAGGTTTACAAGACAAATTAGTGTTTTGGGGATTATTTTTTTTTTTTAAGTGTGGAGGGTTTTTTTAAAAAAAATTCCATTTTTGTTTTGTTTTTGTTTTAACATACTGGTTTATTTCCAAAGCTTATAATCTGACGCATTGCCTTTACTGCCCTGTAAGACACATTTTGTCTATGACCTTCTTGCTCACGAGCGAGACACATTTCTTATGACCACCAGGTTCTTCACTAAGAAAGAACAGTGTGGAAAAATGTCTAGGGACCAGCTGAGATACCCCAAACACAGCCCCTGCCCGAGAGAAATGAGCCCAGCTTCTTTCAGCTCTGCTGTTCTCCACTTTGCTCCACAGGCATCTACAAGTGTCAGAAGACCAGCATCGTGAGGGTGGGTGGAAGAAGCAACAGTGAAATCCTGAAGCAGTTCACCCTGAGGGAGCTGAGGAACAAGCGAGAATTCCGTCGCAATCTCCCCATGCACCTCAGACGGGCCTACATGAGCGTAAGTCCCAGCTCTGGGCCATCTGAGGTAGCTCACAGGAGAAGCAAAACAAGACGGCAAGAGCTTTCTAGATGAGCAGTCCAGGGTTGGTGTGGAGGCTCTGCAGAGCAGTGAAGGGCCCACCTGATCAGGAGGGGAAATAGACACAGAACAGAATTTCAGATGCTCATGGAAGCCAGGCTTTGGAAATAGAGAAGCTGGATAAACTCTTAAACTACTGCCCAGAGATAATTTAAACCTTAAACCAAAAATACCTCCTGAAGTCGTAGTGAAACTAAAGAATAATTTACCTCAGTTATCTGTGTGGGTTCAAGTTGACAGTAGAAACTCAAGAGAAGAGTTGGAAGGGAGCTCTGGTAGCCTAGTGGCAAGATGTTGTGCTACAATCCTGAAGGCACATGGTTCGAATCTACCAGATGCTTTCCTGGAGATGGAGGAGCAATCTCCTCTGGTGCCAGTTGAGTCTGACCCGATGGTACACAACAAGGGGGGGGGACGTTGGAAAACTTGGGATGTGGTGAGTTTATGTTAATAGCTGAGGAGCAACTCAGAGTGTGTGAACATTTAGACAGTATAATCAATACCACATAGAAGGAAAATTGATGCCTTTGAGCTGTGGTGCTGGAGAAGAGTATTGAGAATACCATGGACTGCTAGGAAAACAAACAGATTTGTCCTGGAAAGGGTTAAACCGGGTGGCTCCTTGGAGGCAAGGATTCTGAGGCTCCGTCTAACATACTTTGGACATGTTGTGAGGAGAGACTGGTCTTTGGAGAGGGACATCATGCTTGGGAGGGTGGAGGGACAGCGCAGGAGGGGAAGGCCCTCTATGAGGTGGATTGATTCAGTGACTGGGATAATTGGGATGGGAGTATCGGAGACAGTGCGATTGGCACAGGACAGAGTGGAGTTTAGGGCTGTTTTACGTAGGGTCTCTATGAGTCGCAGGCGACTCGACGGCACATAACAACAACAACAATACCACTGAATTGTGTGTGTGAGAACTTGAATTGGCGTACAGAGGATAAAGAAGAGACAGTGAAGAATTTGAATTCTGATCATGATGTGACTTTTGTAGTCCCGATCAAATGGAGAAAGGATAAAGGGCACGCTGATCCCCCCACCCTGCCCTTCTGTTCCCACTAGGACCTTCAGGCTGCACTCTGTTTTTCTGTCTCCTCCTCCTTGTTATTATGTACCATGGAGTCCAAACTGACCTATACCTGACTTTCCAGCAGATTTCCAGAGACCGCAAATCACTTGGGACAGGATTACCCATCTTTTTCCTATGGAGCTGCTGGTGGATTCAAACCACGTGCCCTTGGGTTGGCAGTGCAACTCCTTACCATTAAGCCACCACACCTCTTATATTTCATTAGCCAGAACTTAAATCATCTGACCAAATCTAGCTCCAGGGGAGCCTGGGAAATGGCATTTTTAAGCTGGATAGCAATATGCCTAGCTAAAACGCTGTTGTAATTAATAAGAAGGAAAGAAACAGATAATATGAGACAGAGGTCTGCCACGGTACCGTTAGCATGTTTTTCTTTCTGTTGGATTGTTTCTTTATTTCTTAGGGTCTTTTAGACATTTTGGGTGCTAGTCCCTTGGTTTCAAGACTACAGTAAATGCATCAGGAAACAGATTTGTTGATATGTCTGTTTCTGTTTCCTCTTCTTGTTTGCTGTTGCTGTCTTAGCTTTGTTTTCTTTGAAGACAGGAATGGAGTTTGGCAGATGATGATGATGATGACAGTGGTTGTGGTGGTGGAGGAGGTAGTGGTGTTGGTGGAGGTGGTGGTGGAGGAGGTAGTGGTGTTGGTGGAGGTGGAGGTGGTGGTGGAGGAGGTAGTGGTGTTGGTGGAGGTGGAGGTGGTGGTGGACGTGGTGCTGGTGGTAGGTCATCACTTCTCTCCCTCTCTCATGAGCAGATCATAACAGAGATGAAGGAATCCGAGCAGGAGCTGCACGAAGGGGCGCAGACCCTGGAGTGCACCATGCACGGCGTGCTGCGGGAGCAGTTTCTGGAGAAGTACATCTCCAGCCAGCACTGGCAGAGCCTGATGAACGGGCCCGTGCAGGTAGACCAGCTCGGGGAAGGGGGGGAGAATGTCTAAGCATCTGCTTGCTACCAGCTGGATTAGCAGCCCAAAGTGTTAGCTGTTCCGTAGTTTAATCCTGCCATAAGGTGAAAGCTCCCTTTCTGATGGGACACAGCCAATGCATAGGTCAAAAACAAACCCTAGAGCCAGGCTGCTCGATTTGCATCTTCCTGTGCTTTTAGATGGTCTGTACCTGTTCCCTCTATATCACACAGGCATCATAATGCCATTAAACTGAACATTGTATAATTGCCAATATGTGTAAATTTGACTTGCAAAAACAGCCCTTTTTATGGTTCAACTTAATTCTTATCTCACAGGATTGTAACTGGAATAAACAAGTAAGTGGGTATTTGTAAATGTATAAAATAAAATCCTAATGAGAAGCAGTCTAGCACATGTCAAGAGCTTGGCCACCAACAGATGTAGGTCATACAGACTGACAGGGTGACTTGGTGTAACTAAATCCTTGGCTTCCTCAGTGGCTAAACAGGGATAAAAATACCTGCCTTCAGAAAATATTATAAATTCCAATTGAGATAATCTCTATAAAGTAGCTGGCCCAGCACCTGTGAAAGGGTAGCTTTATTATTCTTGATTTGATGATTCCAGACATACAAACTGAAAGTTTTAAAGGAGACAGTTAGGTCATGTAAGAGAGTGAAGCAGGGGTGAAGGGGGTGGGGGGTGGCAATGGCAGCAGTCCAGCTCCTGCCCCTTAACTGTAACTCAGTTATGCAGGTCCATTCTTGGAAGAACTCCTCATTTTGTCAAGAGAGGTAGGACATTTAGAGTTTCTAAAGAAATATTACATTTTTTTAAAATTCCATGTAGTCCATAATAAGCATTCCAGCTTAAGCACCGCTGAATTGGTTTTGCTCCCGGAGGAGACCCTCCTTCACACTTGCCAGTTGATACCCGTGGCTGATAATTCTTTCTTTCTCAGGATACTGAATGGGTCCTCTTCCAGGGACGGAAGCATTCCATGATGCTGGAGTGGCTGGGTCTGGGTATTGGTTCTTTCACCCAGAGTGTTGGTTCAGCAGGGCCTGAGAATCCAGGTGAGAAGCACACGTCGACCTCAGATACTGTGTCCTGGGTAGAACTTGGTAAAGACCACGGTGATAGCACTTAGAAGCTATACCCAGATACCTTAAGGAGCTGTGAACATAAGAAAGGGAGTCGGAAAGCTCAAAAATAATTAAGGAGGAAACTGCCAAGCTGGGGGAGGGGAGGGATAAATAAAGATAGCTTAGTAGGAAAACAGGAGAAAAGATTTTTTTTTAACTTTTTTAAATTATTTTTTTATGTGTGTACCGTCAAATCGGATCTGACTGGTGCAGAAGGAGATTGTCCTTCCTTCTTCGGCAGAGCATCTGGTAGATTTGAACCGTGCACCTCTGGGATTGCAGTGCAGCTTCTGGCAACTAGGCCACCAGAGCTCGCCGACAGAAAAGATTTTTAACAGGCAGATCACAAAATATGAAATCCTAATGGCCAGTGAAACATATGAAAAAGTGCTCATTAAAAATCTTTTCAAGGGGAGCTCTGGTGGCCTAGTGGCAAGAAGCTGCACTGCAATCTCAGAGACGCATGGTTCGAATCCACCAGATGCTCTGCCGGGAAAGGAGGAACAATCTCCTCCTGTACCAATCAGATCTGATTTGACGGTACACTCACACAAAAATAATAAAATTAACAAAAAAGAAATCTTTTCAGATGATGAAACAGTGTGCAACAGTGAAGTTAGTGACAACATACAGAGCAAACACGAGAGCACAGGCATACTGGGGAAAAGCGAGTTACAGAAAAACATGGAACCTCCCATTTATATAGAGCTCAGAAAGAGGAAAAAATTACTGTGTTTAGAGCTATGTAGACAGCAAGTATGTAGTAAAATTATCTTACAAAAAATAAGGAATTTAGTAAAATAAAAAAATTTGGGTTCTAGGCTCTCCAGAGAAACTGGTAATTAAAATTAGGTGGAAGTCAGGGGAGCTCTGGTGGCCTAGTGGCAAGGAGCTGCAACTACAATCCCAGAGGCGCACAGTTCAAATCCACCAGATGCTCTGCCGGGGAAGGAGGGACAATCTCCTCCTATACCAGTCAGATCTGATTTGACAGTACACTCACACAAAAATAATAAAATTTAAAAAAAAAATTAGGTGGAAGTTATGATAATAATCTGGAACGAGGGGTGCCTTGTGGGGAGGGTTAGGAAGGGAGAAAAAAAGTGAAACAATAGCAAAAAAAAAATATTAAACTGTTTTCGATGTTAATAAATTAAATAGATAGGTGGAAGTTACCGGGAAGTTCACTATATATATTCTTACTACTCTAAATTGCATTTATACATTGTCTCCTTTGTGTATATTTTTTGACATTAGGAAAAAAAAATCTATGGCGAGCTCTGGTGGCCTACTGGTAAGAAGCTGCACTGCAATCCCAGAGGTGCACAGTTCAAATCCACCAGATGCTCTGCTGGAGAAGGAGGGACAATCTCCTCCTGTACCAGTCAGATCTGATTTGACGGTACACGCACACACACACACACACAATTTTAAAAAGAAAAAAACCTATGTGTATGTTATTTTAAAATGGTTTTTAAAAATAAAGTCAAATTAGAAAGAGCCTGCATCTTCCTGCCCAGCTCATCGCCCAGCTTCCCTCCCGGAAGTGACCACTGACAACTGTAGCATATGTCTTCATGCGTCCGTAGCTCTCCTCTGCTGCCCTTTGGCTTTAAGAACCATTATCCTTGTCCTATTTGCCTCTCGTAGCCCAGGCAGAAGGGGAGGACGAGGAGGAGGAAGGTGAGGAGGAGGCCTCGCTGATCAAGATTGCTGAGGAGGCCGACCTGATTCAGGCAGATCGGGTGATCGAGGAGGAGGAAGTGGTGAGGCCCCGGCGGCAGAAGAAGGAGGAAAATGGAGTGGACCTGGTGGCACAGATGCTTTTGGCCTTGAGGCTGGACAACCCCGGCCAAGGGGCAGCAGCTGTGCAGGAGCAAGCCACAGGAGAGTGGCAGGTAAACCTTTTTTCTCATGGTTCCTGAAAACCCATCCAGAGCGGGAAACGGAAGGGTATATACCATGCCCCTTTAGCAAAGGCTAGACTCTTCTGAGATAGGCCTGAAAGCATCTGTTTTGACCAAAGTTCTTGTTCTCCTTAATTTCTATTAGAATGGAGTCACTCCAGCCTCACAATTAATATACCCACTTACCAGCCTAACCCGATTTCCCAAGGGTATAAAAATTATGGCTCTCCAGAGAGGCACTGGCAGGAAGAAATGCCATGTTACAAAGACAAGAATAAGGTAGCCAAGGACTTTTCAAAAACTTCTAGAAGGAAGCAGTACTTTCAAGTCAGAGCAAACACAGTCTCGGCGCTTGGTGCTTTCAGTTCTATCCTTAACCTAAATTATGTCTGTGTATGCGCATGACAGTTTTAGAGGATTAAAATAAAGCAGATGAAGAAGACCTAGGCCGCATGGAATCCAGCCTCACCCACCCTGGGGTATGTCACTTCTCTTAAAGACAGGTGGCATGAATGCCCACATGTCTGCATATAGACTTACCCTCTGTTCCTTCCTTTAGTTGAGCCCTGAATTGATCACGCTCCGCTATGACAGTCGAGGACTCAAAACATGTTTTTAGCCTCATTAATGATTTAGGGAAATTTTGAGGACAACTTTGATTAAATGTAAATTTTGTCTGTGTCTAGCAGCTTTTGAATCTAATCTGGTTCAGTTCAGTATAGTTCATAATCACTGTATGTGATGAAGGACTTTGTGATCCCAGCTCCTAAAAGTATGAATTACCATATCCACAGCTGGTTGTGAGGAACAGCCGTCTGGCCGCAGGAATAATGGTGTTTGGTTTTGAGGTAGAGGAGGTGACATCATCTTGTATGTGGGGCCCTCTTGTTCACAGACTCAGTGACAGAGCGATGAACCAGAAGGGTGTCTATTTGTGTTTTATTGCCTATGCAAAGGCATTTGACTCTGTTGACTATGTTGGTCAAAGTCATGACTAACACTGAGAAGAATGAGCATCCCAGAACCTATGCCCAGACCAAGAAGCTGTTTTCTGAACAGAGCAGGGAACACTGCCTGGTTTAAAATCAAGAATGGTCATGCATAAGGGTTGTAGCCTTTCTCCGTACCTGTTCAACCTGTATACTGAACAAATTATTCAAGAGGCTGGACATACATTAAGAATGTGGCATCATAAAAAAAAAGACAGTGGCATCAGGATCCGAGGAAGACTCATCAACTACCTGCATTATGCAGATGACACAACCTCGCTTGCTGGATGTAAGGAGGACTTGAAACACTAGGGTTACACATCAGCATCATGAAGACAAAAATCTTCACCACCGAGTTAATAGGCAACAATAGATGGAGAAAAGACTGAAAGTGTTAACAGCTTCATCTTACTTGGATCCATAATCAACACCCTTGGTTCCAGCAGTCAAGAAATCAAAAGACAATTGCACTGGGAAAATCCAATGCCAGAACCTCTCCAAAGTACTGAAGAGCAATGATGTAAGTTTAAAGTCTAAAGTGCACCTAATTCAAGCTATTGTCTTCTCAGTTACTTGCTATGTATCTTATCTGAATGTTGGCCAGTGAGTAAGGATGACAGAAGAATCGATGCCTTTGAGTTGTGGTGTTGGAAAAGAGTACGAATATCCCATGGATTGCCAAAAGAACAAATACATCTTGGAGAAAGTGCAACCAGCATGCTACTGCTTAGAGACAAGGATGGTGAAACTTCGGCTCACGTATTTTGGGCATACTTTGTTAGGAGAGGCCAATCCTTGGAAAAGGACATCGTGCTTGGAATGCTGGAGGGTCAGCAAAAATGGATTGACAGTGTGAGTGTAACATTGGACTTGGATATATGAGAGGTGATGAGGCTGGCACGGGGTAGGACAAGGTTCAGATCTCTAGCTCAGAAGGTTGCTGGGAGAGGTAATTGACTCAGCGGCACCAGGCTCTAAGACACCGAGCAAGCCCTGTGCCGAGGCCTCTCCCAGGCACCACCCATCAGACCCTGTGAGAACAGCGTTCAACAAGACACTGCCCCCTCACCTTACTGTAGACACAGTGCAGGAATAAGAAACAGACTGTGATCAGGAATAACTGCAGTCAGCACGCTTCTAAGTTCCGTGTTCTTCTAACTTCAGTTGATCCTGCAGTCCTATAAAGAGGTGCTGTTATTTCCACCTTCTGTAAGGGAATACTGAGAGGTTTAAGGAGCTCGCTCTAGGTCTAGGTCTTGCAGCTAATAAAGGTAGAATGGAACTTTGAATGCAGGCAGACTGACTCTGCAGGCCTGGCTCTGAGCTGCTTTTGATGGAAATATTCCTTATGAGGGTGTGAGACACCCAGAACAGCTCACCAGAGGTTGCAGCCCCTTTTCCTACGTGCTCTGCCTCTACCTCAGTTTCCAAGCAGGCAGGCCCACCTCTCCTCCAGACGGTGAGCCTGACTGGTGTTGATGTCTACAGACCCAACGCGGTCATAAAAAGAAAATGAAGAAGAGAGTGAGGAACGAGCTTCTCAAACTGAACACCATGACTGAGGCTGAGGCCAGTGAAATCCAGGACATTTGGCAGCTGGACCTGAGTTCTCGATGGCAGCTGTACAGGTAATGTGCTCACCCACCACATCCCCCGCCAGCCCGTAGGATGTCTCCTAAGACTCCTTTTATCCTCCCAGAACTGCCCCCCACCACCACCCATCCCACCCCCAGCCTTGAACAACAGTAAGTCCTTATTGATTGACACCACCACTGACATCATTCCTTTTGACATGGTCACGGGATAGGACAGACAGCTGGCTCTACCCTCATGGAGTTTCAAGGCTCTTCAGGGAGATAAGTTAATCAGATCAGTCCACAGATAGAAAGTTACAAATAAGCATAAACATTTAAGGGGGAAAAAAGGTAATGCAAGAACATTGGCATAGGACCTCAACTGGTATCTAGGAAAGCAATGTTGATGTCAAGATGTGAATGCTTAGTAGGCAAAGAATCAAGACATTTGGGGAGCAGATGCTTTGAAGGCCCCCAGATGGGAGGGAGAACCTGAAGAGAAACAACTAGCATGGCAGCACAGGAAGAATTAAACAAAGAGGCTCAAGACCAAGTCCGAGAAGGACAGGGCCCGTAGGACTGGGCTGAGCAGGACTGAGTTCATTCTAGAATCCATGAGTTTCAGAAATTGCAGGAAGCCATTGGAAGCCTTACAGCTCTGTGAAAAGAGCACACGATATGCTCAGTGGAGAAAACTAGGGGCAGGTTGTTAAACAGGAAAGTTTTCTAACGTCTATACTTTATCTCACCATCTTTCATTTCTGTCCACTTAAGTACATTGCTCTGCACATCTCTTTTCTGGGCATTCTGGACTGTGAGGTCCCTATGTATCTCTTTCCCCTCCTCCCTAGTTCTCTCATGCTCTCTTTCTCTGAGGGTGGTACACTCCTGGGAGACCTATGCTAGGGTGCATGCCATACACAGGGCACCTTCTCAAAGAGCCCATGGCTTCCTTTCTCCGGTCCTTTCCGTCCTGCAGGCTGTGGCTCCAAAGGTACCAGGCTGACACCCGCCGCAGGATCCTCAACTTTGAGCGGCAGTACCGCACATCAGCAGAGAGGCTGGCTGAGCTGAGGCTCCAGGAAGACCTCCACATCCTTAAAGATGCCCAGATCGTGGGCATGACAACCACAGGTAGGGGAGTGTGAGGAACGGGCCCGTCCCAGCTGTTCACTCCAGGGACCACTCCTGTCAGATTATGTAGGACAGGTAAGGAGAACCTTCGTTTGTGGGTTACAGGAAAATGCCAAGAAGGCTGCTGTTGAGAGCAGCCTGTAGTTAGGGACCCGTGGGGGAAATTTACCTGAGTTTGGAATCCTGACAGTGACCAGCATGGGAGTGATGATGGTTTGGAGAGGATCTGGCATTAAATCTCATTCAGTGGCGACCAAACCCCTGAATGAATGTGAAGACTCTATTATTGCTAGCCCAGTTTTAGGGAAGGTATAGAAAGAGATTTCTACATATCAGCAGCGCTCTCTCTCTTTCTCTCTCCCCCACCTCCCTCCCTCTTCTCCCCTCTCTCCCTCTCCGTCTCTCTCTCCTCCTCCCTTCCTCTCTCGCTCCCTCTCTCTCCTCTCCTGACACAAGGTGCTGCCAAATACCGCCAGATCCTGCAGAAGGTGGAGCCTCAGATCGTGATAGTCGAAGAGGCTGCTGAAGTGCTGGAGGCCCACACCATTGCTACGCTGAGCAAAGCCTGCCAGCACCTCATTCTGATTGGGGACCACCAGCAGGTAAAGTGGGAGCCCCTGGTGGGTGAGACCAACAAGAAGCCCCTCGCTTTTCTCCTTCAGCAGACCTCATGTGTATGGTTCAGAGACAGTTAATGACTGCCCTGTGATTCCTCGTTTCCTCTCTCCCCTCAGTCACCGTCCAGCTGGTGTGCTAGATTTGGGGTAGATCTTCAAGGTTTTTGTGTGCTGTCAAGTTGGAATGGACCCATAGCTGGCCCTCCATCAGCTTTTCAGTGGCTGTAAATCACATGGGAGAGGCCCGTCCTCCGCATTTCCTTTCAAGGAGGGAGGTCTGTCCCTTTGGGAATGCAACTTTCTAATAAAGTTATCTTTACTTTTACCTTAAAAAAATCACACAGGAAGAGGTTGCCCATCTTTATGCCACAGAGCGGCTGGTGGAGTTGAACCATGTGTCTTCAGGTTGGCAGCCCTATTCCTTATCACTAAGCCACCAGAGCCCTCTATTTCAGAGGTCGCACTAGCCATTTCATTGGCTCCTTCCACACCTGTTAGAATAGCACCTTGCCCTCTCTCTCTCTGCATCCATTAATCCATTTTCAGAGGAGCTAAGTTCAGTGGGCCGAGCACTGGGTCGCTGACTAGAAGATCACTGGTTCAAACCACCTGCCACTGCCCCAGAGAACAATGTGGCAGTGTGCTTCTCTAGGGATGATAGCTTTGAAAACCCTGTGATGTAGTCCTGCTCTGTGGCCTCAAGGGCCACTGGAAGTCGGAATCAGCTCGTTGCAAGTGGTTTCTAATCCTCTTTCCATAAAGAAGCTGAAGTGATTGATTTAAAAAAGGTAAATCAGCTGGTAAGTGCTTATGGGTTATTGTTTGCCTTCGAGCGGCATGCAGAGCGTTAATTTCTACACCAGGCTCTCATTTAAGAGACGATGATGTTGCGCACTGAAGGCGGAGAGGGGTTTGTGGTGAAGGTCAGGGGCTTGCCCTGGTCTTGTTCGGCCGATGAAGTGCAGCGTTTTTTCTCTGACTGCAAAATTCAAAATGGGGCCCAAGGTCTTCGTTTCACCTACACAAGAGAAGGCAGACCGAGTAGCGAGGCTTTTGTTGAACTTGAATCAGAAGATGAAGTCAAATTGGCCCTGAAAAAAGACAGAGAAACTATGGGACACAGATATGTTGAAGTATTCAAGTCAAACAATGTTGAAATGGATTGGGTGTTGAAGCATACTGGTCCAAATAGTCCCGACACGGCCAATGATGGCTTTGTGCGGCTTAGAGGACTCCCCTTTGGATGTAGCAAGGAAGAAGTTGTTCAGTTCTTCTCAGGGTTGGAAATCGTGCCAAATGGGATAACATTGCCGGTGGACTTCCAGGGGAGGAGTACGGGGGAGGCCTTCGTGCAGTTTGCTTCACAGGAAATAGCTGAAAGGGCTCTAAAGAAACACAAGGAAAGAATAGGGCACAGGTATATTGAAATCTTTAAGAGCAGTCGAGCTGAAGTTCGAACTCACTATGATCCGCCTCGGAAACTTATGGCCATGCAGCGGCCAGGTCCCTATGACAGACCTGGGGCTGGCAGAGGGTATAACAGTATTGGCAGAGGAGCTGGCTTTGAAAGAATGAGGCATGGAGCTTATGGTGGAGGTTATGGAGGCTATGATGACTATAATGGCTAAAATGATGGCTATGGATTTGGGTCAGATAGATTTGGAAGAGACCTCAATTACTGTTTTTCAGGGATGTCTGATCACAGATATGGGGATGGTGGATCTACTTTCCAGAGCACAACAGGACACTGTGTACACATGAGGGGGTTGCCTTACAGAGCTACTGAGAATGACATTTATAATTTCTTTTCACCACTCAACCCTGTGAGAGTACATATTGAAATTGGTCCAGATGGCAGAGTAACTGGTGAAGCAGATGTTGCGTTTGCTACTTATGAAGATGCTGTGGCAGCTATGTCAAAAGACAAAGCGAATATGCAACACAGATACGTAGAACTCTTCTTGAATTCTACAGCAGGAGCAAGCGGTGGTGCTTATGGTAGCCAAATGATGGGAGGCATGGGCTTATCAAACCAGTCCAGTTACGGTGGCCCAGCTAGCCAGCAGCTGAGTGGTGGTTATGGAATGGAGGTGGCTGTGGTGGTCAGAGCAGCATGAGTGGATATGACCAAGTTTTACAGGAAAACTCCAGTGATTTTCAATCAAACATTGCATAGGTAACCAAGAAACAGTGAACAGCAGCTACTACAGTAGTGGAAGCCGTGCAACTATGGGAGTGAACGGAATGGGAGGGATGTCTAGCATGTCCAGTATGAGTGGTGGATGGGGACTGTAATCCTGATCCCTGACTCTAGTGAACATTTTTTTTAAAAGAAAAAAAAACTTACATAAAACAGTTTTTGCAACACAAGCTTGTGATTTATGCTTACTCTAAGTGGAAATCAGGATTATTTTTAAAGATTGCAGGTTGAGTGTTTTTGAACAGAACACATTCATCTAGGTGTACAACGAAGTTTGAGTAAATAAACTGTTATTTTCAGCTTTTTCAAGTTAGTAGTAGAATGTACTTAGCAGTAAGCGTATTTAGGTTAAAGCAGTTCAATTATGTTAAATGTTGCTTATACCACATTACATGGAAACACTGAGTGCATGTTGAAAGACATGCTTTTTTTAAAGAATACTCAAATATAGGAGCCCTTGTCTACAATTAAAAGTGAAATATTTGGCATGTTTGTTCTTTCTAGTTTTCATTTAATAACCTGTAAGGGCACGTAAGTTTAAGCCTTCCCCTTTTTTTTCCAAGTTAATGGTAATGAGACGCAATACCAATACTTTAGGATTATGGTCTTGGTGTTTGTATGAAATTCTGAGGCCTTGATTTAAATCTTCATTGTATTGTGATTCCCTTTTTAGGTGTATTGCGCTAAGTGAAACTTGTCAAATAAATTTTCCTTTAAAAAAAAAAAAAAAGGTAAATCAGATCATGTCACTCCCTGCATAAAACTCCCCATGACACTGAAAGAGTAAAAAGCAGGTTTCTCACAGCAGCTACTGAGGCCGATTGGCTTGGGTTTCCACCACTGCCTCTCACATCTTTTTCCACCTGTGCTTTGCTGCTTGTTTTCTCCACCTTCTGTCTTCCCAGTTTCCTCTCGTGAATTGTCTTAGCTTTATTATTTAGAATCAAAAAGTTTCCATTTGAACCATTTTTAAGTGTACAGTTCAGAGGCTGTGTGGAGCTACATACGGTCCTTGCCCACGGACGGGTCAATGTCGGTCCAGCTAAAGTATGTTCACCATGAGGTTCTTCAGCCGTGTTTCTCTTTGCAGTTGCGCCCCAGTGCCAACGTGTATGATCTGGCCAAGAACTTCAACCTCGAAGTGTCCCTCTTTGAACGGCTGGTGAAAGTAAACATTCCTTTTGTCCGTCTGAATTACCAGGTGAGAGGCTCTGCTGTTACCACATGCCCAGAGAATGCTCCTGAGGGCCCAGCAAATGCCAGAGAGGCCTCGTTTAGTAGTTAAATGACTGTCTGACATACTTTGCTTTAAAAGTTTCCAAGATGAGCATGAGTTGAGTTGGTGGTGAATGAAGAAAGAAGCTGTGTAGGTTTTCTTCTGTTTCCCTCCTGTTCAAGGGTTTCCTCCCTAGTCTTCCCACTAGTCACAGTCCTTAGAGAAATGGTCCTTTTAGTCTTCTGCTCGGGTTTCTGACATTCACGTCCTGTTTCAGCACCGCATGCGCCCTGAAATTGCCCGGCTTTTGACCCCTCACATTTACCAGGATCTGGAGAACCACCCCTCTGTTCTCAAGTATGAGGAGATTAAGGTGAGTCCCCACTGGGATCTTTCTCTGGTGCTGTCTGCAGCCGTGGGAGTGGTACTGTCCTCAGGATGAAGAGGTGCTGGGGGAAGGTAAGACGACAGCCAGCTAAAGAAACACTAGTTCTTGACAAGAGGTGTACAATGGGCAGGGCTGCCAGCTGGAGCCAAGCAGTTTAAACCCACCAGCTGCTCGGCAAGAGCTCGTGGTCACTTACGTGAAGATGATGACCTTGGAAACCATAAGCGGCTGTTCTGCTGTGTCCTGTACAGTCACTGAGTTGTCACGTCACAGCAGCGGGTTTGAATTTGTTACACTGTAGAAGCTGGGAATAGAAAGCCCTGACCCCGCTGCTTCATCACTGTGTGAACTTCAGAAAACTAGATAAGAATTCCATGTGTAAGGACCACCTTCTGTGAAATAAGAACATTGATTCCTACCCCGTTACACGGTTGTATTGAAGGAGACAGTTCATGTAAAGCCATTAGCCCAAGAAGTTAGCGCCTCCGTTTCCGCCTCCTCCATCATCATCATCGTAGCTGCCGCTTGTTCCCTGGGCTGTCTCAGTTCCTGTTACGGCCAGCTGCCTTAAATACTCCCATCAAAGTACTTAGAAAATGAAAATAGACAAGTTCTTGAGTTGATGGTCATGGCCCCAAAACAAGGCACATGATGACTGACGAAGCTCAGAGCGGATGACTGCCACGCGGCCTGCCAGATGCCTGCCCGTGTTCTCTGTGAGGCAGAGCAGGAACCTTTCCTTGTTTAGAAGGCGGCTCACGTGCGTGAAGCCAGGCGGAGGAGCTGTCGGCTGTCATGAATGAGCCGCCTAACGTGTCACTTCTTTCCCATTCCAGGGGGTCTCTTCCAACATTTTCTTTATCGAACACAACTTCCCTGAGCAGAAAATTCAGGAAGGCAAGAGCCACCAGAACCAGCACGAGGCCCAGTTTGTGGTGGAGCTGTGCAAGTACTTCCTGTGCCAGGAGTACCTGCCCTCGCAGATCACCATCCTCACCACCTACACCGGCCAGCTCTTCTGTCTGCGCAAGCTCATGCCCGCCAAGACATTCGCGGGGGTCAAGGTCCACGTCGTGGACAAATACCAGGGCGAGGAGAACGACATCATCCTCCTCTCCCTAGTGCGCAGCAACCAGGAGGGCAAGGTGGGCTTTCTCCAGATCTCCAACCGCATCTGCGTGGCCCTGTCGCGGGCCAAGAAGGGGATGTACTGCATCGGGAACATGAAGATGCTGGCCAAGGTGCCCCTGTGGAGCCGCATCATCCACACGCTTCGGGAGAACAAGCAGATCGGCCCCGCCCTCCAGCTCTGCTGCCAGAACCACCCGAAAACCTACACCTTGGTGTCCAGAGCTGCTGACTTCCAGAAGGTGCCCGAAGGAGGCTGCAACCTGCCCTGCGAGTTCCGGCTGAGCTGTGGGCACGTCTGCACCCGGGCCTGCCACCCCTACGACTTCCTGCACAAGGAGTTCCAGTGCATGAAGCCCTGCCAGAAGGTCGTCTGCCCAGACGGGCACCGGTGCCCCCTCGTTTGTTTCCAGCAGTGTCGGCCCTGCGAGGTCAAGGTCCTCAAAACCATCCCTCGGTGCGGCCACCAACAGATGGTCCCTTGTTCTGTGCCTGCGTCCGAATTCTGCTGCCAGGAGCCTTGCCCCAAGTTCCTGAAATGTGGGCACAGATGCAGTGTCCCGTGTGGTGAGAAATGCGTGCAGTGGTGCTCAGAAATGGTCACCACGGAACTCAAATGTGGGCACAGCCAGCAGGTGGAGTGTGAGCAGGTGGACGCCATCAGGTACGCGTTGCCAGTGCAGTGCACCACCAAGTGCAGCGCCATGCTGGACTGTGAGCACCCCTGCCCCGGCTCCTGCCACAGCTGCTTCGAGGGCCGCTTCCATGAGCGCTGTCAGCAGCCCTGCAAGCGCCTGCTCATCTGCTCCCACAAGTGCCAGGAGCCCTGCACCGGCGAGTGCCCGCCCTGCCAGCGCGTCTGCCAGAACCGCTGCGTCCACAGCCAGTGCCAGAAGAAGTGCGGGGAGCTGTGCAGCCCCTGCGTGGAGCCCTGCGTCTGGCGCTGCCAGCACTACCAGTGCACCAAGCTCTGCTCCGAGCCCTGTGACCGGCCTCCCTGCTACGTGCCTTGTACCAAGCTCTTGGCCTGCGGCCACCCCTGCATTGGGCTATGCGGGGAGCCGTGTCCCAAGAAGTGTCGCGTCTGTCACCAGGAAGAGGTTACTCAGATCTTCTTTGGCTTCGAGGATGAGCCCGATGCCCGCTTCGTGCAGCTGGAAGATTGCAGCCACATCTTTGAGGTCCAAGGCCTGGACCACTACATGAATGAACAGGAGGAGGATGAAGTGGCTATCAGGTTAAAGGTCTGCCCTATGTGCCAGGTGCCCATCCGCAAAAACCTGAGGTACGGAACCAGCATCAAGCGGCGGCTAGAAGAGATTGAGGTGGTGAAGCAGAAGATCCAGGGCTCCGCAGAGGAAATCAAAGCCAGCCAGGAGCGGCTCAAGGCCCTGCTCGAGACGAAAACACTCTTCTCTGAGTGGCTCCCTGAAAACTTGACGATGCTGAAGAAGAAACTGGACCAGAAAAACCTGTCCGTCAAGGGCCTGGCGCTTGTGGAGAATTCCATCAGCTTCTATGACCGCTTGGCAAACCTGTGGAATTCCCTAGAAAGGGTGCCCGTCTATGAGCAACACAACGTACGTACTCGACTACGCCAGGTGCACGAGTGGCTAGAAAAGAAGCGCTTGAGCTTCACCAGCCAGGAACTGGGTGACCTCCAAAGCGAAATACAGAGGCTCACCTACCTCATCAACCTCCTGACGCGCTGCAAGGTGGCAGGGGGGAAGCTGAGCGGTGAGGTAGCAGAGGAGGTCCATGGCGTCCGCAAGATACTCACGGGTACGTCCAAGTTCACGCGGGAGGATGAAGAGCTGGTGCAGAGGAAGCTGGAAGCGCTGAAAGGCAGCCTGCCCTGCTTTGCCCTGGGTATCTCGGAGGAGGAGCGAGTGCAGATCGTCAGCGCCATGGGCTTTCCTCGTGGCCACTGGTTCAAGTGCCCCAACGGCCACGTCTACGTGATTAGCGAGTGCGGCGGAGCCATGCAGAGGGGCACGTGTCCTGACTGTAAGGCGGTGATTGGCGGCGAACGTCACACTCTGGAGAGTAGCAACCGGCTGGCGTCGGAGATGGATGGAGCCCAGCACGCGGCATGGTCCGAAACCGCCAACAACCTGCTCGACTTCGAGGAGATCCGACGGCTGATGTAGAGAGGTCGCCCCGCCGCTGCCTTCCGCCCCGTGGCTAGGATCGGCTCCTAGGAACCGCTTTGTTTCCTCTTACTGTCCATTTAATCCTAGCACCTACTTAAGGATCCACGTATAGGGCTTGCCCCCATCTGATTCTAGATTTACCCCTGCGCTAGTATAAGCACTTTACCTCCAGAACTGAGAAATCAGTTAACAGATGTCTCCACTTTCCTCTCCCGCAAGTTGGCGGGCAGACGCCCTGGAGCGTGTGGGGGCCTTCCTCCCAGGCGACCCTGTGGGCGCTCCGGGTCCTGCGCCGGCAGACGTTTTCCTGCAGTGCTGCTGGGCAGTTGGCTCTGAGTGTCACAGGCTGACGATTCCTGCCAGAGCCTAACTTGCAGACTCTCATTCTAATCAAGAGGTGCCGAGGAGCTAGTGGATCATGAACCACTCATCCTCTCAAGGAGCACAAGAACCCCGCCTTGCCCCCTCCTCGGGCACCCGGCTCCAGGAGATGGAGGCATGTCGTCAAGCCCAGATATCACTAACCCCGACCCCGTTACATATTTACTCAGAGTGGGAGAGTGTGGCTCCCCCAAACCCAGGGAGGGTGCTTAGGACGCAGGTCTTAGGCTGTTAAGGAGTGACCTCCGGAACCGTTCCTCTGACCTTAACCTTGAGGCGGTAGGGGCGGCCTTGCCTGCACTGGGAGAGGGTCCATGGCAGTGCTGGTTCCCCAGGGCCCAAGCAAGACTTAACTCACATTAGGTTCCAGCAGCGCCTCTCCAAAACATGGACCCTCATCCCAGCACCCTGTGCTGCAGCTTCCTCCTAGACAGGGTTCTCATGGCAGCCACTGCTGCCCCATTCCAGAAAGCCAGCCCTTGGCCTCCAGCCTGCGTAGGCTCCCGTCATCCCCTCAGTCCACGGTCCCTAGTACACACACTTAGCATCTCAGGTCCTTTCTAATGTTGACGCGAAAACCTCCCTTTCCTATGTATGCACTTCCTTTTTTGTCTTTACTATGCACTTTAGCCTAAAAAGCCAATTAATAAAAATGCTCTCTGAGAAAGCAGTGGTCTGTGATTGTGCGCAGGCAGCTCCAGTGGCTCGGGGCAGGACGGGCACAGGGGAGACGCTGCCTCCAGTGTCTTTCGTCTTTTGATGGTGGGAGGTTTTACTGCATCTCAGCTGGTCCTTCCCCTGAAACAACCCTGTTCTGTGACCGTTTCATGGACCCTCCCAGAGAGAATGACACACATGGAAACCTTGGAGAAACAAAAATGACAGTACATTTTGCACTTGACCTTTCTCCTGGCAACCTTGTTTGAGGTGCTGGTCATAAACATGTGCAGACTGCACCCGATGGACCATCCTCCATCCTCCAGGAAAACACTGTCCACTGTCCACCGTGAGGGGCAGATGTGTGACGTTAGTGTCTGAAGGGTGGGATACTAGGTAACGGTAACATATTTAAGCCAGGGTCTGGGTTTATGTGCCCCAAAAATGCGATTTGACAAGCCACAAATTTCCCTAAGAGAATCCCCACATCTTTCATTCTCAACAGTCCCAGGACTGATAAAACAACAAGGACCACCGTCCACATGGTCCTCTGTTAACTAGGAGCCTAAGGAGTCTGACCAGTGGTCTCCACGCCTCCGTCTTCCCAGTAGCACTTGGACAGCACTGTGGTTCAGAGCTCGGGTGTAAACAGCAAAAACAGATTCCCAGCCATGCAGCCCAGGTTGTGAGAGGGCCCAAGTACCTTCCTCATGAGAGTATGTGTCAGATAACACAGGGATTGAGGACCAATGGATGGTAACTTGTATTTCTAGGATATCAAGAGAATGGCTAGCAAGTGTCTCCTCCCTCCACTCCCACCCCCTCCACAGGGGCGATGGTCATGCATTCACTCACCTAAGTGGTGGAGGTGCCAAACTAGCAGATGGGGCAAGAGCTACAGTCACTGACAGACAGTGGGACGGAATGTCTTCCCCACAGTAAAACCATGTCCACTTCAATTATTCTTCCTGTGGTCACTCACCAGTAAAGCAGCCTCGGCTGACTGCTGGAAATGCTTAAGGTAACACCACCACTTTTCCTTCCTTTTTGATGCACAAATAACAAACTTCTTAATGTTTTAAAGTTTATTTTTTTGTTTGTGTCTTACAAATAGAGAAAACAGGCCATGCCAGGGTGACTTCCCACAGGGAAGGAATTGAAGGGTTGCCCCACAAATGTCTTCAGACTCCTGGTCTACTTCCTTCGCTTATACCTATTAAGAAAATCAGAATTAACACCAGCCCTCGGAACTAGACAGAGCAATCAGTTTGTTTTCCCACAAGAGGTTTCTGCTCCAATCCAACAGAGCCCTCCAGAAGTGGAGACAATACCTGGATTTAGATTTAAAGTTTCCTCCTCGCCTCTGGTGCTGCAAGCCCAGCTTTTTCTTTTCTTCAAAGGATGGGCTGTGGGAGGAGACAAAAAAGCTCAAACAGCGAGCTGGGAGCCAGTCAGTGCCACCTCCCACCAAAAGCCAGCAAGCACCTACTGTCAGCAGCACAGGACGGACACAGTCCTCAGGGCCTGGCTGGGGCCTTCCCGCCCGGTAAGAGGGCTTTGTGGAAGTGAGATCCTTTTGCCTCTACCTACTCAAACTATTTGGGAAGACTTCCCCACCCAGTTCTGGCCTTCCCCCTGAGCAAGCTGGATGCTGTGGGGCGGGGTTCTCCAGGACTGACTGAGATGTCAGTTTGTCCCCCTGAGAGAGTTCAATTTCTGAGCCTGAACATGTCCTTTCACTGCCAGCCAGGGCAGAAGGTCCCAACTCCACGTCCTCCTCGCTGAGAGATGTGTAGGGAGGAAGGGAGACAGGGCACATGAATCTTAACAAATTCCACGTCATAAAGCTCCATGTGCGAGCACTGAAACTGGGAGAAGAGTCTGCTTTCAGCAAAATACCAAAGGCTCTGGCGACTTGAACCTACCCAGCCCGATACTGCTTCAGGGCCTTCTTGCTAGTGTTCGTCAGCTCTTCGTCAAATACAGATTTCTTCACCTGCTTCTGCTTCTTGGCTGTGCAGAGACACAATGGGTCAGAAATACCATGTTTGGCCCAACCAGCAAAACCCTTTAAACAAGTCACTTGGTGCCAAGCTCAGTGGAGAATTAGTGACTTTCTCCCTGGTCACGGGGAAGAGTTCTAGGGCCCCTGGCCTTGCCCCTCCCTCCCAGAGGACCCCCTGCCTAGGCTAGACAGAGCAGTCACATGGAGGCAAGACACTGGATCTCAGCAGCCAAGTGGCACAGACTCGGAAGAAGCAGGTGTTCCCCAGAGCACAAAACGGAAAGGGCCACTAAGCCCTGACCGGGGCCAGCAGCCATGTTCGTTCTGTCCTGCCCACTCCATCAACATTGCAGTTAGGGACTTGGGTTCTGGATTCAAGCTCTGGGGTCAAGTCAGTTCTCCCACTTAGCCACAGGGTTACTCTTTTACGGGCACCAAAAAAAGGACACTTAATGCTCTGGTACAATAACCACAAAATCTGGGACAGCATCAGCGTCCTTCAATGCCCTCTCAGACCACAAGGGGAGTTTTCGGGGATGATTTTGCCATCCGATCCCACCCGCTCTGCGAGTCCTCACCAGGGCCTCTGGCCGGCTCCTCCTCGGGCATCGCGCGGGCCCGCTTGGCCCTGCGGTTCCTCTTGGCCAGGCGCTCAGCGAACATCTGTGCCTTGAGGATTTCAAACTGGGACCTCTCTTCTGCCTGGAGAAAAGAGCCAGGTGTGAGAGCGGAACCTCCAGAAGCCCCTCCCCACCCGCCGCAGGCAAGTGCCACAGGGCGGGCTGCTCACCGTCATCTCCCCCTTCTTCTTGGCATCGTTCATAAACTTCTTCCTTTTCTTCTTTCCTCTTAAGGCTAAGTCAAACTCCTGCAGAGCCTTGGCAACTGGAGTGAGAGGAGAGCGCAAGGTTTCAGGCACCACTTTACGTCTATTGTAAAGCATACAGTAAGAAGCACAAACACTTAAACTGGCCCTAAGGACTCGAAAAGCAGCAGTTATGTTCTTTCTCTCCTGATGGCCACCACCACCGCGCTCAATAGCACACTTGTTCCAGCTTCTATAGACCTTCCTTTAGAGGATGAGGATCTAGTTCACTTATCACAAGGGAGTTCTGGTGGCCTAGTGGTAAGGAACGGCACTGTCAACACTAGGGCATGCGGTTCGAACCCACCAGCTCCTCCACGGATGAGGGGCAATCTTCTCCCATGCAATGTATTGCCTCTGAAAACCAGGTAGTAAAGAGGGTCAATTACGGGTTGGTCTTAACAGTACACAACAACAAACACTCCACAGGGCCTGGTAGCACAACAGTTAAGCATCTCTTGCTGACTGGTCAGTGATCCGAATCCACCAGCCGCTCCCCAAGAGAAACTGCCCGCCTGCTTCTGAAGAGAAATCATCTGGGGAGCTTCTATTCGTTCAGGGATTGTGTGAGTCAGAGTCGGTTAGACAACAACGGATTTTATGCTATCCACACCGTCCCACCAATTCAGTGACTAAATTATAATAGTGGCCTAGTGGGTAAGGAGTTGCACCAATAACCCGAAGGCAAGCAGTTCAAATCCACAGGAGAAAGAATAGTGATCCTCTTCAACCTGCTAGAGTGTCAGCTATGAGTCCATCCCGACTTGGCCAACAATGAGGTTGGGGTATTTTTAATAAATTATATTCATTCTTGTCATGAAAGAAAAAGATAGTGCTGCAGTAAAGGACCTCACCCGCTAACCAAAAGGTTGGCAGTTCAAGCCCACCAGTCACTCTGGAGGAGAGGGATGTGGCAGTCTGCTGCCAATACGATGTATAGACTTCATGAAGTACTACCTACATGAGCCCAAGACCAGAGCTAGGTTAGATGGTGCACATTCACCACCACCAACCCGCTCCGAACTGGGATCACCACAGAGGGTCCCAGGTTGAGCAGGAGGAACACGCAGAATAAAATCAAACACCAGAAAATTATGAGACTCACTAGTCTAACAGAGACTGGAGGAACCCTGAGACTAGGACGCTAAGATTCCCTTCTGATCAGAAACAGAGGCCGTTCCTAGAGATCATCTTGCAACTGCACAGGCCCATAACTCAGGGCAGGAACGTGTTCCTTAGAGCAAGCAATTATACAAGAGCAAAGGATGTTGACCAGAAAGCCAGAGATGAGAAGACAGGAAGAGGCAGAAAAAGTCAACAAAGAGAAAGGGGGCAAATACTGAGACGTGCGGAGCATAACCGCTGTCAGGGAAACACTGTGAACAGCACATCACATGGGAAGATAATGCGCTCTGTAAACACCCACCTAAAAGCACGATTAAAAGTTTAAAAATAAGGGGAGCTCTGGTGGCCTAGTGGCAAGGAGCTGCAACTACAATCCCAGAGGCGCACGGTTTGAATCCACCAGATGCTCTGCCGGGAAAGGAGGGACAATCTCCTCCTGTACCAGTCAGATCTGATTTGACGGTACACGCAAACAAAAATTAAAAAAAAAAAAAGTTTAAAAAGAAAGGTACCCAGTCAGGAAGTTTAAAAACACAGAGCCTTGGAAGCCCTCAGGGGCAGTTTTACTCTGTTATATGAGCACTATGAATTGGATCTGACTTGACAGGAATGGGTATTATCAAAAAAAGACACTATAGTATTTCTTTCCTTTATGGTTGAAGTTATTTTGTTGTTGAAAACAAGGACAGTATTTCTTTTTTATGTATGTTTCTTAACTTCGTAACTGGCTGGTACAACCTCTATGGGGGGCAATTTTGCAACATCTAACAAAACTGTAAATACACACCCAGCATTTCCACTTTCAGGGATTTATCATGTAAGTCATTTGCCTAACTGGGAAAGGGCATATGGAGAGGTTTTCGCTACTCCACAGGAAATGAGCCCAAAATTGACTAAACCGAAAATCCCAGTGTCGTGAGGTGATGCCAACTCACCCTGCAGGTACAGGGGAACTGGCCCACGGGGTTTCACACCCCACAGGGTTTCCAAGCCTGGGATCTGGACAGGAGTAGACACATCATTCTCCCACACAGTGGATGCTGGGTTCAACTCACTGGCCTTCCAGTTAGCCGCCAAGTTCTTACCACCAGGGCTCCAAACAGGAGAGAGGTTTAATAAATTAGAGACCTCTTCCGTGATGGGAAACCATGAGTCACTGGAGGTTAAGAGAAAGGCAGCTGTGTATCTGTGTGTGCGAGCGTGTATGGAATGAACTCCAAGCCATGAAGAGAAGTGCAAGGGGCCGCGTGCCCAACAACTGAGGGTATCTGTGTTAGGGGAGGGGTGGGGAGGGCAGGGAGAGGGAGAGGAGAGCGAGTGGGGACGCAGACTGACTTTTCTCCTTCTTCCTCTCCTCTTTGGTCTGGAACCAGCTCCTCTCGGGCTCTTGGCTCGAAGCCTCCTTCCCTTTCTCCAGAAGCCGCTTTGCTGTGTTGATCTGCAGGGACAGCAAAAGGAGGCTGGTGTGGCCACGGCTGCCGCCAAACCCACAGCTGATACAAAGACTCTGGCAGGACGTCGCTGCCTGCAAAGGCTGGGGACTCTGAAGGTAACGTCTGCCAGACACAAACCGTCAGAGCAGAGCAAGCACGGACAGCAGCAGCCGCTGTCACGGCCACCACCACGTCCACAGGCGTGCTGACGTGGTGCCGCCCACCAGGACTGCTCGCAGCCTCACCTGGGCCTCCGAGTGCTGCATCTCCTTCTCCTCAGCCTCCAGCTGCAGGACGGCATACACGTCCTTCTCCATCTTCTCAATCTTGTCTCGGAACTTGAGGATGACGTCTTGAGGGAAGAGAAAGAAAAGGACATTAAGGGAATAAAGGTAAATGCTGAGTAACCCACTGTCACCAAGTTGATTCCGACTCAATGACCCTACCAAAGAGAGAACTGCCTTACGGATTTCTAAGGTGGTCACCTTCCGCCACACGCTTCTCCCACAGGGTGGCTGGTGGGTTGGAACCACTGACCTCTGAAGAGCAGCTAAGTGTTTAGACACTGCACCACCAGGGCCAATGTGTATTTCCTGACCTAGAACAGGCTGTGCGTGTGGCTTCTCTAGCCAATGACAAACAAGCCTTCCTACTGTTCTTGGAAGCAACTCTTTAAGAGGGTCCCCTGCCCAGTGCTCCCCGGCTCCAGGGGGAGCTGCCTGCCCCCATCCCACATTCACAGCTTGTTCAGCTACCAGGCTGCCCCATGGGCTGCTGGCTTGGCCCACAGCACCCACGGCTCTAGGGGCACCCACGGCTCTAGGGGCACCCACGGCTCTAGGGGCACCCACGGCTCTAGGGGCACCCACGGCTCTAGGGGCACCCATGGCTCTAGGGGACCCCGTGCCTGCCGTCCAGGCCTCAGCTCGGAAGCCTTTCGTGGGCAGCTTTCCTAGAGCGGCACCTTGCAGCTGACACTGAACCACATCTGCCCACCAGCTTCTTCACGGTCTCTTTCTCCACGTCAGCTGCTTTGTTTCCGGCCCTTTCTCTAGCTCCCATGACAGCATAAACACACCCGACAAGAGCCATCATCATCACCCCTTGGCACACAGCGGCCTGAGAGGTTGGGGTCGCCAAAGGCTGTAAACCTTTCACAGCCTCAGACTGCCCCATGTGACCTCCGAGGACCTGCCTGACATTCTGGGTAACAGCCATGCGCTTAACCGTTGTGCCACCAGGGTTCTTAGCATTTGGTAGTGGCTCAATAATCATCTGCCAAATGAATAAATGAAATGAAAAAGAAACCACAAAAAAGCCAGTGGAAAAAAAAGCCAGAAGAAACACATGACCTTAAATATTGTTGAGCACTTGCAGGTACAACTATGTTGTTGTTCTTTTACTACTGATCAGTCACCAACACAGCATATAGAGGATTTGTGTAACTTTGTGACACCTAATTTTAAAAAGTATGTGTTTTGTATGAGGCTGAACTATTTGGCTGCTAAGCAAAAGTCCAGCTGTTCAAACCCACCAGCCCCCATCTCGGTGGAACCCAGATGAGGCCATTTGGTCCTGTCTAAGGTCTGCAGCCCTGGACCAGGGAGTTCTCCTCTGTCCTATAAACCACTATGAGTGGAAACCGACTGAGAGGTTTGGAGAGTGCTCTGGTGACAAGGTGGTTAAGACGCTGCCGCAAATAACAGCCATATGTGTTTCTAAGCCTGGTTGTCAGTTTAAAAGTGTGCGGTAACGTGTCTGCTAACCAAAGGTCAGTGGAGTGAATCCATCCGCTAATCTGGAGGAAGAAGAGGCAGAGTCTGCTGCTAGAAAAGACTACAACTTTGGAAATTGTCTGGGGCCGTTCAACTTAACAGCAAAACACAGATGGGGACAAACATGAGACACAGCGACGAGAACGGCACCTGATGCACACCACCAACAGGAAGGGGCTTCGCTCCACGCTTGTCCCCAGGCAAGACTTTCTCTTCCCGAAGGTGAAAACAAAGTATGAGGGCAGCTATGTTTACGACTCTATCCTTACCTATTCCATTTTACAGACAGGGAGGTGAAGTCCAGAGAGGCAAGTGGAAGAGACCTGCCTGAGATCTGGGCTTCAATCTGGCTCCTGACTGCAAAGCCCCTGCTCTCCCCACTCCAGTCCTGCTCTCATCACCCCACTCCAGCCCCGATCTCCACTCCCGTCCTGATCCACTCCAATGCCCTCCCTCACTACACTCTGGCCCTTCACCCTCTTATGTTCTGACCCAGGGTCCTGGGCGCCCAGCGACACCACTGTGGGTCGAGGCAGGGAGCTCCCACCTTGAGGCAGTATGCGGGCCTTCACGGGGGCCTTGGCCGACTTCACAATCTCTTTCAGCATCTTCCGCTCCTCTTCTCCCACCAGAGACACAGAACGCCCAGCCCGGCCAGCACGTGCCGTCCGCCCCACCCGGTGGACATAGTGCTTGATGGTGTTGGGCATGGTGAAGTTGATGACCTGAGGAGTCAGAACGGTGCCTCAGTCAGACAGGAGGGGGCTGTCAGGGAGGCAAAGAGGCTCCTCCTGTCGGAAGTTCAAGAGGATGGGCTCACTCACCGTTTTGACACCCTCGATGTCAAGTCCACGGGCTGCCACATCTGTGGCCACCAGAATGTCAATCTGTTCATCCTTAAAGCGCCTAGAAAGAGCCACAGAGATGCTCACTCTGATGTCCTACACCAATCCTGCTCTGCTGGGACTTGTGCCCTGACCCGGGACAGACCATCTTGGGGGCCGACCTTAAACCTGACAGTGACTCCCACCCTTAAGCCGTCGAGGAGCAGACGCAGCTCAGTGCACATGGATGAAAGCCGTGTTCCATTCAAAAGGTCTGAACCGCAGCACTAGCCAGGCTGAAGGGGCACACATAATGTCTCAATTTCTCTTTAAAAATCAATTCTCAGCTCCTTTGTGATGAATGCAGGAGGGGAGAGGGTTCCCCTTTGCCGACTGAGGCCACGCCTTCCTGTTTTTATTGTAAGGCCCCCTAAATCTTCCCTTCTTCATTACTTCGTGAAGGTCAGGTAGGAAACTACACAGAAAGGCACAGAGCACAGGGAAGCAGACGCCCGAGAAATAGCTGCTGGTTTGGATTTGAACTCTTGCTCGGTCAGGCCCAGGCACAGCCACTGCGCCGGGGACCGTGCTGAGGACTGACCACTGCTGACCTTCCGGGTTCTTTCCAGATGCAGCCACAGCCAGCGGCTCCCAAGGGCCCGGGACTCAGGCATTGCCCTCTGCATGGTTGAGAGGTCCGAGGTCTGAGTGTACGAAAGACCTGACCTCACATGCTTGGAGTAAAGGTTTTTAAGTAAGAGCTGAGGGCTGTGCACCCCTGAGATTGCCGTCATAACCCTCTGGGCCCTAGCTCTCTCCTGTCTCATCAGGACGGGCCCTGGCTGCACCGCATTCATTACCTCAGGGCTTCCAGCCGCTGGGTCTGGGACAGGTTGCCATGGAGCTCGCCCACCTGCAGGCCCAGGAGTCCCAGCAGGATGTGCATGCGGTGCGCCTGCTTCTTGGTCTGTGTGAACAGCATCACGTGGTCGGTGAAGGTTCTCGTCAACAGAGCTGGCAGGGGGACAAGAGGGCGCAGGCGGTCATCCTGAGATCTATCGTTTCTCACACCCGCCTGCCAGGTGCTGCCTGCTGAGCTTGGCATCGGCTACAGCAAGGCTTCTACCCAGTTAGCATGCAACCCACATCAGAGACAAGCCAGTGCCAGAGGAAGAGAGATACCATGGGGACAAGGGTGACCCCCAAGAGCTGAGGAAGGGTCCAGGCAGAAGACACAGCAAGCAGACAGGCCCCAGGGCAGGAACAAGCTCAATGAGCTTGAGAAAGAAAGTGCCTGTGGTGGGAGGGCAAAGCCAGGGGCAATGAGGCTGGCGGACCTGGCCGGCCTCATGGGGGGGCCTGGCCGGCCTCACGGGGGGGAGGGGGGGGGCTGGCCGGCCTCATTGGGAGGGAGCCTGGCTGGCCTCACGGAGTGGGCCTGGCCGGCCTCACAGGGGGGCCTGGAGTTGGTGTCAGTGCAGGGAAGCCGCTGGAGGGCTCTGGACAGGGAAGTGACAGCAGTCAGTGTTTGTTCTCTGTGGTCACCTCTGGTGACCTGTGGTGTGGAAGGGGTTACAGAGCAGGACCAGCGGGGACCAGGAAGAGCTATGAGGTGTCTTCAGTAATAATCCAGGGATGAAAGGAACGGCCTGGACTGAAGGGCGAGAGAGCAGGTGGTGGGGTGCGGCTGGGCTTTCAACCAACACAGAAAGTGCTAGATGGTGGGGGAGGGGAGAGGTGCTTAGAGAGGACGGATGGCTGGTGGACAAAGTGCGGACATGGCATCCCGTGTGCTGGGCTATCCCGCCTGGGAGGTGGTGGCGTGGTGTGGACGCCAGGGGCCAGGCCTCGCCTGCTCCCACAATCCCAGGCCGCTCTGCAGCCTCACCTGCCACGATGGCCTCTCGGTCCCCTTCCCGGTTGGGACGGATGCGGATGAATTCCTGCCGCAGGAAAGGAGCCACGTCGGTGTTGCTGTTCACAAATATGCGGACAGGGTTCTTCAAGGAGACAGAAGCCAGATCTTTGACCTGCCGAACGCAACAACACAGTCACACCCCGGTGGGAAGAAGGGGAAGGGGTGACACGACGCGCACACACACACACACCCCATCCCCACAACCACCCTGCAGCCCACCTCGTCTGTCATCGTGGCCGAGAAAAGCATGGTCTGGCGGTGGTGGGAACACATGCGGATGATCTCCTTCATCTGCTCCTCAAAGTACTCGTCCAGCATCCTGCGGGCAGGGAAGGGGAGACCACAGCATGGACCGGGTCCTGGCATCACAAGACACTGAGCTCTGGTGGCCGGCACTGGTGTGGCTTCAGTCTCATTTATTTTATTAGCAGCAGCTGTACTGCTGGACAGCTGTGGTGCTTCAGTGGTTGAATGCTCACTGTCCAGGTGAGACACCCAGGCTCGATTCCCAGGTGACAGACCCCAAGTACGACCACTGCTGTCAGTGAGTGGAGGTCTGCCCGGCGCTGAAACCAAACAGCTTTTATCTAGGCTTCCAAACTATGACCGACATGGGAGAAGGACCTGGAGATTCACTTCCACAAGAGCAACAAAAGAAAACTTCATGGTCACAAGGGCCCGAGTGTGTCAAGCAGGACGCTGCCTTGAGGTGGGACCACTTTGACAACAGCTAACAACAGTAACATTATTGTTGCTATTAGTGTTTCCACCAAGAATAACCACTTCACCCTATCAGTTTGGTGTTTTTATCCTCCACTGACTTACTGCAATCATTCAGCATGACATTTTACCCCTAAAATTTCAGCATCAATAACAGTATCTCCCATGGTGATATCATTACCACAGCCAAAATATTCAATAATGCCAGGATAAGAGAGAAAGTCCACAACCAAGTTCTCTAAATGTGTCCAAAATGTCATTTTATCGACATCATATGTTAGTGCAGGAGGCTAGGTTTATGTACCACATGAGATTGCCACTGTCTCTCTCCTAACAAAAAATTCCAAACCTACAGCTGTCGGTTCTGACTCACAGCAACCATACAGGGCAGGACAGACCACCAGGGAGGGTTTTCAAGGCTGTAATCTTTACAGAGTGTGACACGTCTTTCTCCCGCAGAGGAGAGGATGGGTTTGAACTGCTGATCTTTCAGTGCTTCACCTCTATGCCACTGAAGCACCCAGGCTGCCATTAATCTAGAACATCTCTTCACTCTTGCCCTTGTCCCCCTGTCTTTCATGCTGCTAGTAACTGGGAAGAGCCCAGGGTAGCTGTTCCGTGGCTGCCTCGCCCTCAGACCTTGCCAAACCGTGTCCTGGTGACCAGACTCAGACAAAACCCTGCGGGAGGAAGAGGCAGGGGTGCGGTGGACCGAGTGGACCATGTGCACCTTTTGTATGGGTGTGACAGATGATTAAGGTGGGGCCTGTCAGTTCACTCTCCACTATAAAAGAATTCTTTCTCTTTATAAATAATATGTATTATTATCATCATCTCTGTGTGTGTACCCTCAAATCACATCTGACTGGTACAGGAGAAGATTATCTCTCCTTCTCCAGCAGAGCATCTGGTGGATTCAAACTGTGCACCTCTGGGACTGCAGTGCAGTTTCTTGCTACTAGGCCACCAGAGCTCACCAATAATACGTTGAGAGTAAATCTGATGCCAACTTTTCAGGTAACCCAATTGTCCAGCGTCACCCCTCCAGCACAGGTTCCATCTAGGTCGGCTACCTTCTAATATCCAGGGGCCTGGCCTTTGGGTCTCAAGAGTGCCTGGGGTCCCCACCATTGCCGGGTACCTGTCGGCCTCATCCAGGATGAGCACCTCGATGCTGCTCAGGTGGAAGGAAGGGCAGTTGTGGAGGTGGTCGATGAGCCGACCCGGGGTGGCGATGAGGATGTCGGGCGCGGCCCGGAGAGCTGCTTCCTGAGACTTCACATCCAGGCCACCTGCAGAGAGGAGAGCCCACCAGGCCGCCAGGTCAGTCATTCACCTGAGCTTCCGGCTCACCTGCCACCTGCAGGAGGCTAAGCAAACAGCTGAGACTGGCCAAGTCCCTGCTTGTGTAGATTTTACAGTAGATTGAGGGGGGGAGTGTCATTGTGTCATGATGATTGTATTGGGCACAACAATAAAAATGAGGCCATAAAGGCCTGCAGAGCAGAATGACCCCTACTTCCGGTGGCTGAGAGGCAGCGAGGAGAACTGATGATGACCTAGCATGTGTGTACAAAAACCACCCCTGGATTCCAGCCACCTACAGACGGTGCACAGAACACAATTCAACTCCGATGCCCAGGGGGTGCAGGAGCCAGTCACTGAATTGTGCAAAATGAGGGCAACACAAAGGAGGTCAGACCACGTGACCATTTGATTTCAATGGGAAAACAGTGTACAGAGCAATCAAAAATTGACTCATCTTTTTTCAAGGCTGCTTAAGTCGCAATCAAACCCCTGTCCCCATTCTGCTATTAAACATCATCACAGGCTGTAGGTGGCTACCACCAACACAGGGGTCTTTTCTGAAACCCGTCACCCTCAGAGAATGAGGCCCACCCATCAGGCCCCGGTCTCGAAGGCCACCAGCCCTCGGCAGGACACTCACCCACAGCGAGGCAGGTGGTGATGTTGCAGAACTGGGCCAACTGCTTGGTGACGGAGTGCACCTGGATGCCCAGCTCTCGAGTGGGCACCAGCACGAGCACGCGGGTGACCGCCGCCTGGCGGGGCTTGTAGATCAGACGCTCCAGGACAGGCAGGGCGAAAGCAGCGGTTTTACCTGCAGGACAGGGTAGTGAAAAGGCAATGAGAGGGAACGGACCGCTACAAAGTGGAAGTTTTCCCTGAGCGCAGAGAACCTATACAGCAGATCAGGAAAAGACGAAGCAACTGTATTTCCACAGAACTTATCTGTGGATTCAAACCGCATGTGCCATGTAAAAATCTTGAAAACACACAAAAAAGCTGAAGATCATCAAAATTACCAACAATTCAGCCAACAAGTGATAAACATTGTTAATATTTTGTTCTGTATTACTCTACTGCCAATGATTTCTTTTTCCTTAACTGATAAATAGAAAACATAATTAAAAAAATAGTATTTTCTTAGGGTTTATTTTGAGGTGAAAGTTTACACAACAGAACAGATTCTAGTTTCACAATTTCTATACAACTTGTTCAATAACACTAGTTACATATACTCTTACAAACATTATCAACATTCTCCTTGTGTGCTGGTTGTTCTGTTTCCAACACTCTAGCTTCCCTTCTCATTACCTTTGTTACTGTTGTTATGTGCCATTGAGTTGACTCTAATTCATAACTACCCTGTGCACAACAGCTCTGAACTCTGCTCTATCCAGAGCTAGTGTCAACTGTCTCTGACACACCTACCCTCATTACCCCGTTACTGTGTCAATCCATCTCATCCAAGGTCTTCCTCACTTGTGCTGTATCTCTACTCTTCCAAGCATGATAGGCTCCTTCTGGCAACATGCCCAAAGTATGTGAGACATAGTTTAAAAATACCTGCCTCCAAGGGAACAATCTGGTTTCACCCTCTCTAGGACAGACTTGTTTGTTCTTTTGGTGGTCTGTGGTATGTTCAATACTCTTTTCCAGCACCATAACTCAAAGGCATCAATTCTTCTGACATATCTGGTCACTGTCCAGCTCTCTGATGTATAGGAAGTAATTGTAAAGCTCATAACCTGTATCAGGTACACCTTAGTATTACCTTTGCTGTAGTATAACTGTTGAACTTTTTGGTCTTATCTAAAGAGGTTTTCAGTGAAGCACCTTATTCACACAGGTATTATCTTTTATTTTGTATTCTAATCTATTCTTGAGCTAAAAGGCACACCTCAAGGGCCAATTCGAGTTGAAGGTTTAAAGACTCTGTCAGGGTGATGATCTTTGAGAATCCTAAATTGGTCCAGGAAATCCAGACTTTTTGATACAGAATCTGAGATCTGTTTCCTGTTGTTAGGATCCATCTGCTGTGACCTTGATCAGCGTTGTCTGCTGTGAGAGCTGGGCACCATCTTGTTCTTCTGGTCTCTGGGCAGACAGAGCTGTGACACAGGCGATCAGCCCTGTAGATTCAGTTCTTCACTGAAAGTTTGGTTTCCTTCTTTCTTTTTCGTTCCTGACCAGTAGTTGTCTCTGAACAGCTAGTTATAAGCTTTTTTTTTTTTTAATTAGAAGAAATTTTATTATGTCTGTGATGTATTTTGGACTGGTACTAATTCAATTTCTTTTTTATTATCTTTTTTAGATTTTTAAAAAATTTTGATGATGATGATGATGATGATGTGTGTACCGTCAAATAAGATCTGACTGGTACAGGAGGTGATTGTTCCTCCTTCTTCAGCAGAGCATCTGGTGGATTTGAACCATGTACCTCTGGGATTGCAGTGCAGCTTCTTGCCACTAGGTCACCAGAGTTCGCCTGGTTATAAGCTTTTAAAACTCTAAATATTACTTAGCTCACTAGGATATAGAACATGACCTTCAAACTATATTCTACACCAACTGACTGAGCTGTCCCATGAGGCTAAGGTCCTAAATCTTCAAATGAAGGAAACTTATCCTGTAATGCATTTAGTTATGCCTGAGAAATACCTTTAACCATGTCCCCTGTGAATATATATATGTGCATGCATACACTTATCTGTAAGTACATGTATGTAGAAAAACCTGAGATGGCACTATTCATTTTTGTAACTTCTCTTTTTTAAAAACTTGGTAATATACATTTATCCCATTTTTAAAAACATTGTATTTTTATATCCTTTTTAAACGGCTTCATAGTATTCCATTAAATGATTATTTGTATTACAGATTAACAGATCTCCTATGGCTGGTCATGTAAGATTTTTCCAGTAGTATACCATGAGGTGATCTCATCTTTATAGATTTACATCCTCAGAAACCCAATGGAAAGTCTCCATGAATCGAAATTGACTCAAAGGCAGTGCGTGCTAGCTGAAAGGTTGGTGGTTCAAATCCACCTAGAGGCACCTCAGAAGACATGCCTGATGATGTGCTTGAAAAGGGAACAGCCTTGAAACCCTCCAGCCCTGCGAAGATGAGGTTACCATGTGTCGGAATTGACTCAATGGTAACAAGAATACTGGTGGGTTTTATTGTGTATGAATTATACTTCATTTTAAAAGGAATAAATGAAAATTCAACAAAAATAAAATATGCCACATACATACAAAGGAGAGAGCTCAGGTGGCCTAGTGGTAAGAAAATGCACTACAATCCTGAAGGCATGCAGTTCGAATCCACAAGCTATGCAGAAAGATGGGCAATCTCCTTCCGCATGATTAATAGCCTCCGAAAATCGACTGGATTGTCAGCTATGGATTGGTTCTCACTCAACGGTACAAAAAAACAACAACATACAAAGGAGTCCTACACTGCTACAGATATGAGGTATACATAGAAAAAGCTACCTCAGATATCTAAAGCGAAAAAGCCCTAGGCTGAAGAGTGTATCATTTGGTACCTCTGCATAGAAAGGAGAATATCTATGTACTTACATTTGCATTTGAATTGAAATGCATTTCAATTACATTTGCATTTGAAAACTACTTTGGAAGATCTCCAAGAAACAGGGTGGGAACTGTGAGGCTTCCACTGTATATCCTTCTGCAGTATTTGATCTTGAACTATATATGAAATTATTTACTCAGAAAAAGAATTATTTCTTTTTACAATAAAAAAAATAAATCAACACAAGCTAGAATTCCTAAAAGCTTGGCTGGTCATTTACTCAAATGCAAAAGTATTTTGCTTCTATCCATCTGTGTTTGCTTGGGATACAATAGACGTGGATAACCACTTCTCAGAGTCAGGACATGCACTGCTGAACTGCTTCCAAAAAGATGGAGCCATTTAACCTCCTGCCAGCACCATGTGACCGAGCAGAGCCCCACCATTCCTGGTCTTTGACAGAAATGCAGAGAAACACCAGTTAAAACAAAGTGGCTTTGCTTGTAGAATGCAAAAAGGCACACACTTGGCCCCCCGTCTCTGGCTGTGTGGTTTGGAAGAAGGGACCAAGCACAGCAACGTGACCCTGAGGGACTGTGGTGGCCTGGGTGAGGACAGCTGAGCCATTCCATTTGGGTTCTGGGAACCGGCCGACTTGCGCAGTAGCCTGTCCCCTGGTCCTTTATGCACAGACTTGAAGCAGGCTTGGTTTTAGGTTTGTCTTTGTCACATTTTAAGGACTGGGACTTCGCTCTGCCATTCTTCCAGCTCCTCAGTCAGCCGCCTTCTCCTCAGTTCTCAAAATAGCCAGTCCAGGCTGTGCTGGGTGCCGACTCGCTCCCAGTCTCTCCCACTCCCCTCCAAATCCTCCAGCGACAGACACACAGAACAGCAGGGCAGAAACACACTAAGCTTCATGGGAAGAACTGCTCGGAGTACCAAAGGGTCACAGCCAATCTGAAGCTCCCAAGAATCTTCAAAAGTGAAAAACTCAGAGTAGTGGCTGCCGACTGATTGTGACTTGCGGCAACCCCATGGGTGTGGGTGAAACTGCTCCCTGTAAGGTTTTCAACTCTGAGACCTTCCAGAAGGAGACAGAGGGCCAAGCCTCTCCTCCAAGCCGCCCCTGGGTGGGTTCGAGTCATTCATCAAAGAGTACTTAACCATTTACACCACCCAGTAACTCACACAGTAACTCTTCTAAACCCGTTATACCACTGATCGATTATGAATTTCCGTGAACTCTTTACAATAGGAAGAAAGGAGCCATTTGACCTCTCAGTGTTATTCTGGGCTCCCCATTCTCAAGCCCCATGAGTCCCCATCTTCTCACCTGTCCCGGTGGCTGCACAAGCACAGATGTCCTTCCCCAGCAGACCCACAGGTATACATGCCTTCTGGATAGGGGTGGGCTGCTTGAAGCCCATGGTTGTGATGGCCTGAAGTGAAAACAGGATCAGACAGGAGCGAGAGGGAGTCACAGCAAGAAACAAACAGGGCAGGTTTCCAAACAAGTGGTAACTATACCCACCCCTCATAGTTATTCCCACAACAAGTATTTTTCGAGTGCCAGGCACTGCGTTCTAGGCAATGAGGACATAGCAGTAAAACAGAGAAATAAAACCTGCCCTCATGAATCTTATAATCTGGGAGAAAGATCAAATAATAAACACGTCACAAGGTGATGAGTTTTCTGGAGACAAGGCAGTCACAAAGGGCTGGGGACTGCAGAGGGGGAAGAGAAGGGAGTGCATTTCAAGTTGAGGTGTCAAGAAAGATATCCTTGAACAATAAGATTCTGAACACTGAGTAATCCCTGAAGGGGCTGAGAGAGCCAAGGAAGGGAGAGGGATCTAACCACAGGGAACAGCAAGTGCAAAGGCCTGAGGAATAAGGATGTCTGATCCATGTGAGTATCACCAATGAGGTCAAACAGGATCAAAGAGAACAGAATGAATGTCACCAGGTGACATCAAAGAGGATGAGAAGTTGCAGGTCTTGTTGGCCAATGTAACGAGTTTAACTTTAACCCCAAGTCAAACTGGGAGCCATCACACACAGGGTTTGGAGCAGAGGAGGGACATGGTGCAACTTAGAGACAGTTTCTGGCTGTTGTGGGAATGACGGAGGTGGAGGAGGCAAGGAGAGGAGCAAAGCACCCCAATACGGTGTTACGACGATTAGGCCAGGGTTACTGGAAACAAAGCCCCTACCTTCAGCAGAGGCCGGGAAAGGTTCATGTCCTGGAACGAGAGGCTCTCATCGTACTGAGATGCATCTTCGAAAAATCCTCCTGCTTCCTGCACCACGAAACCAAGACAGAATGAGCAGGGGCACAAAGGGCCAGGGAAAACAAAGGGCATTAAAACTCGCGTTGCTGCGCGCTGCTTTACGAGCCCACGCTCACCTGCCCTTTCTTCTTCTTTTTCTTCTCCTTTACTTTGAGGGTATCTATGGGGAGAAGCACAGCTAGTTAACTGTGGCTCGTATTTACTGAGCGCTTACAAATGGCCAGCGGAAGTCCCAGGGGCTCGGCGTGGATGAACTGAGCCCCAACAAGAACCACACGAGGGCAATACCCTCATTAGCCCACGAGAACACCTAAAGGGAGGAGTTCGACACAGCCAGGAGGGAACACCACCTGCTTTGGTGAGGATGTTCTCTTCGGCGGAGGAATAGTCCGTCTCCGAGTCTTCGTCCTCTGAGCCCTCCTTGTCTTTCCCGTCAAGGGCTTCCGGCTCCTCGCCGTCAGAGCTCCCCGCTACGTCTCGCTCCTTCTCTGAGTTTCCAGCCTCTGCTTCTTTCTCCTTCTCCAGCGTCCCTGATTTGGCCTCTTTTGTCTGAAAAAATAAAATGGCAGAACAAAGGCAATTACCAACCTAGAAAAACCAGGCCTGAAGGAGTGCAATGCTCAGGCCTCCTCAGAAGGCACAGTAGTTAAGAGGCACATAGAGACGCCTGCCTGTACAGGTCTCTCCCCAGCTCAGGTCCTCAAGAGAAACGGTGGGTTCATGCTGAGAGTAAAGCTCAGGTGGATCCCCCGAAACCACAGCCCTCCGCCACCCATCAGACCTGGAATAAACTAAGCCAAATAACACACAGGTGTAAACAGTTAACCCTAACACCAGGCAAACACTGATTCCTTAGAATAACCAGCCACTTAAAATCAAAAGGGCAGCAATGGACCAAGGAGAAAGCCCGGACGGCAGAAAGTGTGAGGATGGAAGGATTAATGGAAACTGGAATCACAAGAAGGGATAGGATAGGTAGAGTGTGGTTACATTATGGGTATTGTAATAAACACTATAAAACAAAATGTGGATAAATGGTTGAATTTTCACTCAAAGCACACCAAAGAAAGAGAGTATAGCTCCGGGCTAAAGACAAAGAGAAGGAACCACCCTCCTTTCTCACCTCCATCTTCCTTTTCTTTCGAACTTTCTCAATCTTCTCATCCAATGTAGTAGCTGCTCTCTGCAGACAAAAATCCAGATTATAAAAAAGAAACATCCATGTGGAAAAGAGATAAAGCAAAGTTTCAGGGCTGGGTCTCCAAGAATGACTTGTTAAATGTGCAACAATGAATGAATGAAAATCTGTAACTTTTGTTAAAAAATCACAATTTTTTTTTAAAAAAATAAGAATGACTTATTTGTCCCAGGCCAGATTAATCAGGCTGCATGGTATCCACAAAAAAAAAAAAAACCACCAAAAAAACCCCCACCAACAACCCCCAAAAAACCACTTATTCAATAAATAAAGGAGTCTATCTGAGATAATAATTTAAATTAGCAGCAATAAGAAAGGCCACATTGGTGAGCTCTGGTGGCCGAGTGGCAAAAAGATGCACTGCAATCCCAGAGGTGTGCAGGTCGAATCCACCAGAGATGCTCTGCTGGAGGAGGGGCAATCTTCTCCTGTACCGGTCAGATCCGATTTGACGATACACACAAACATACATATTTTTTTTAAATTTTATTTTATTATTTTTGTGTACCATCAAATCAGATCTGACCGGTACAGAAGGAGATTGTCCCTCCTTCTCCAGCAGAGCATCTGGTGGATTCAAACCCCGTACCTCTGGAATTGCAGTAAAGCTTCTTGCCACTAGGCCATGAGAGCTCCCTAAGAAAAAATTTTTAAAAAATTGTTTAAAAAAAAAAAAGAAGCAAGGCAACATTTTAGAAAATTTTTACCACTTAGAAAACTGTAATTACTAAGAGATGCCGTAACTGAAGCACGCTGAAAAATCTTTCCCGTCACCTATCAGGAATAACACAGCCTACTACTTAAAATGTTGAAATAAAATCAGGTAATACTTCGTGACGTTAAAACACCACAAAGGACAATGACCAAAAAACCACCAACTCGCCACTGCTGAGCCAACGCAGATTGCTAACGAGTCAACAAGGCAGAGGACTACTCCAGAGTCCAAACTGCTAATCCTTCCGCAAGCCTCAACTTCCTCCTTCAGAGCAGCTGGTGGGTTCAAACTGCTAACCTTTCCGCTAGCAGCCTACTGTTTAAGCACTGCAGCATCAGGGCTTGTGCAGAGCACCCTGAAACTGCTCTAGAACATTTACCACAACTGCAACAAGCTATGTAACTCTTTTACACCTCTCTATGTTGTCAATCTGGAAGCAGGAGCGGCATCCACTTCCGAAATGGCTTGCCTCCAGAAACTCTATGTACGAACAATGCTCAGGCCGTTCGTTCATAGGGTCGCTATGAGTCGTCTACGACTCGACGGCATCAAACAACATGTTATGAATATATAGTACTTTATGTACACGTACACACACACACACGTATTGAAAGCAGGCGTGGCATCCACTTCCTAAACATGCCTCTGGAAACTCTATGAACTTTGTAAATGACGACAGTTATAACTGTCTATAGAAAGGCCTTGGGCCTTTTGTTCATAGGGTCGCTATGAGTCGTGCTCAACTTGATGGCAGTCAACAACAACATGCCATCAGCTTCATAAGACAAAAGCCATAATGACAACAATAGGCCTACGCGAAAGAATCTGGCAACAATTACACTTGACAAGTGAATCTGAACTCATTTTCATTAAGACACAGAACAGAGGGAAAAGCAGTTCTGGATTAATTTTTGAAAGAAATATTACTTTATAGGGAGCTCTGGTGGCCGAGTGGCAAGAAGCTGCACTGCAATCTCAGAGACATGCGGTTTGAATCCACCAGATGCTCTGCTGGAGAAGGAGAGGCAATCTCCTATTGTACCAGTCAGATCTGATTTGACGGTACACTCACACAAATTAATAAAAATTAAAAAAAGAAATACTACTTTTGCATTTGCTGGGGGGGAATACAAAAAGAAAAAAATCTTCTCAAGATGACCTTGAAAAGGCCACACTGTTTTACTTCAGTCAGACCAAGAGGGAGCAGAGTCCAGAGAAAAATGCTCTGGGCAGGCAACGTTACTCTTTGATGCATGTGGAATGGAAAATAATTGATGCATCTTTCAGCTTGTTGTTCAGATTCAAAGAAATGCAAGCGATCTGAGCAAACGACAACATCTGTGGGCTGGCTTTGGTTGTGCTGAGAGGAACCAGGGATGTGGGGGGAATAACTCCACAAGAGATCTTCTTGCCAAGAACGATGAGAAGCCTGGGGCAGAGTCGAGCAGTCTAAGACACTAGGGGCTGCTGGACTGTCTTCAATTGCTGACAAATTCATAGGACAACAGGTAAAATTCATCACCTGAGAGTGAATAAATTAAAGAGACCTGTTTAACAAAGCCCTGTCCAAATTAAGCAGTGATGCAATGTTCAGTGTTTCTAAACTACTTAGTCATCAAAGTGCCCCTCGGTGGTGCAGGCTCTAGTGAGCTGCACTGCGAACCCAAAAGGGGGTGTCTCTGATAGTTCGAATCGACCAGTTTCTCCACCAAAGGAAGCGGAGCAGTCTCCTCCTGCTGTGATTTACAGCCTTTGAAACCCAGCACAGACAGGGTGGTTTCAGTTTTGAGTAAAGCTTTTGTTGTTTACATGTCAATGCTCATAAAAATGAAAAGGGCTTCTTACTTTATACACTGAAAGGTGAACTCACCATTCTCTTCAAGAAAAACTGTAAGGATTGTGTTATAATTGTTACATTTTACAAGGGAGTAAGATCTTTTTAATACTTCTGGATGTCCTCTGCAGGTAAGTCTGCAAGAAATCAATCTTGTGCCATCTTAATGTTTTTAGTTTGGCTTCAATCAAGACTGAGGATTATCTGTGACCACCTGTCTGCACTGCACTACACGCTGCCAGAGGAGTCCCAGTGTGTGACGGGCACAAGCAAATGAAAAAGGCCGTGAGGGCCAGGTCTGTGCCGGCGCTGACCTCAGAGCCCTGGGTCTGTTGGCCTCACCTTCTTCTTGAGCTGGCTCAGGACGTCAGCCATCGCCCAGCTGCTATCATACAACCCCTCCTTCTCTGTAAAGACAAAGTCGGGGTTGAAATCGGCACTTCGGTTCTTCTGCAAGGCTTTCTGCTTTCTGCCCAGCACAATGGGCCCCTGGGAAGAGAGGGAGGCAAGGTGACTTGTCAGGACCTGGGGTTGAGGTAAGAGACATGACAAGGATGAAGGAAATCAGAGAAACTGAAGAATGAATAGTAATGGAAACAAACAAAAATAAAACAAACAGAAATAAACAATTCTAAGGATGCATAAAGAAAAAAAGGATTTTTTTTTTAAAAAAAGACCTTAATGGCTGGATGGAGACTGGTGGAATCTCCTAACAATATAACCCTTCATTACCCTTTAAATCTGGCATAAAACTCACCCCCATGGCTCGACTTTTAGTCAGAACAATAGACAGCTTTCTTATAAGGTGAGCAGCAAGACTAGAGAGGTATTCATTGCTTATAATAGTCAACTATATAAGATCAAAAGGGCAACATGTGCCCAGGGTTAAAGCCCTAAAGGGGCAAAAAAGGGATCATACAAAAGGATTAATGGAAACAAGAACCACAGGGAGGAACTGGGAAGAGTGAAGTTCCATTGTGGGTATTATAATTAATGTCATAAAGCAAAACGTGTAGGGGAGCTCTGGTGGCCTAGTGGCAAGAAGCTGTACTGCAAATCCCAGAAGTACATGGTTCAAATCCACCAGATGCTCTGCCGGAGAAGGAGGGACAGTTTCCTCCTGTACCAGGTCAGATCTGATTTGATGGTACATGCACAAAAAATAATAATAATAAAATTTAAAAAATTTTTTTAAAAAAAGCAAAACGTGTATAAACAATTGAATAGAAAACAATTTGCTTGTAAACTTTCACTTGTGTCACAATAAAAAGGGGGGGAAAGTGGATAAATGGAAATCACTCCAGAAGATTATAGAAACAAATCAAAATAGAAAAGCTGATGCCCTAGTTTTTAATTATCACATTATCATATTTGCTTTATATTGTTTTAATATATAACACTTTTCCATTCAAAATATATCTATTGACTATCTAATATCCATGAGACCTCAGGCTAAGCACTAGAAATCAAAAAATAATCAAGATCCAGTGCCTGCTCGCAACCTCAAGAGAATGAAAACTTAGTGGGCTCGTTAATAAATGTTTATCAATACTGGAGGGCAGCTAATGAATATCCTATTCTCAGTTTGTGTATCATACATAAAGGTCTGGTGGTTTAGTGGTAAGGCACCGAGTGGCTTCGCAGGAGAAAGATCGGCAGTCTCTGCCCATGTCATTTACAGCCTCTGAAAACCTTTTGGAGTAATCAGTTGCAACTCAATAGCACGTAACAACACACATAAATTACATGTATGTATTATAATTATCACAGTAGCTCCATGAGGAGCTACCATTATTTTCATTCCAGTGAGGGAAAAGTAAGGGGGAAAAGTGTAAGCATTTTAGCCAAAGTCACTATTTAAAAAACTGAGCGAGGCATGCCCAGACAATTACATTCTCAAGCTCTTACCCACTATTCTAAAATGCCTCTCAACAGAGAAATAGATGCAAATTCTCACTATTACTCAAGTGGTACCACAAAGGGGTAACACAAATCTCTGAACCATGTGGAGCGGGGATAAAGGTGTCAGGGAAAGGCTGATAGGAAGAAGTCATTTCTTACCCAAAGCTTCTAGACAAAGCAGAGGACACAGGCACAGCAACATGAGAGATAGAAGGTTCAGAACAAAAATAAAGAACATACAGGTTTCTGAAAAGTAAAGTAATTGTGCGTGGCTAAGAAGAAAGTTATGAGCGAAAGACCAGACTGTGAAAGGCCCAGAAACAGGCTCTGACTTTAGAGTTTTTCCAGTATCAGTGGGGGGGAAATATGGAACAAAAACCAAAATCATTTAAAAGATCTGACTTACTGGATTCATAGAGTCTGGCAGAACCCTCTAGACCATCACTCATTCAAGCCTAGAACTGTGGCAGTCAAACAATAAACAGCCCTACAAGGCAATCAATAGCACCAAAGAGGAACATATTCCCCAGAAGAATCAATCATACAGAGCAAAAGGGCAGGATCTTGATAAAACTCAGAAGGCAGGTAGGAATAGGAGAAAAAGATAAAAGGACACAGTAAACACAGGGCAGAGGTGCAACTGGTGCTGCTGCACTGTGGCAACTGCAATCAATATCTTGAAATAAAAAATGCATATGAACTGTTGAATGGAAAATCAATTTGTTCTTACATTTTCACCTAGATCACAGTAAAACATTAAATATATATATATATATATATCACTCTAGCTGCCGGTGGAGATTATGCTAGAGAGGGGCTAGAGAAAGAGCTGGAGCCAGGGATATTCGAATGCAGGCATCCAACCTCCAGTAGGTAGCAGCTTGGACAGGATGGGCACAGGGACTGACAAGCTAGTATGCAGAGCGCTGAGAGGAGTGAGGAGGGAAAATGTTTCTAGGTTTCTGACTCCATGATCATCTTTATAAGATGAGAACACAGAGGAAACAGCTTGGGAGGGTGAGTGAGATCAGAGTTCAGCTCTGGAAGAGCTGGATCTGAAGAGGACAAGGAATGCGCCAGTGAAAGTGTACAGTGGGTGGGTGCGGTCTCTTGGAGGGGGACCCTTCTGGACTGAAGCTCTGGAAGAGACAAGCATCCTTTTCGTGACATCACTGATCACTTTTTAACTGCCATGTTTCTGAACATCTGTAACCCCCTCACTTCAACATAAGCTTTAGACGAGGGAGCTTGCTCATCTTGTCCATTACTGCATCCCGATTCTAAACACTAGGTCTAGCACAGAAAGTTCCCAGTAACTAATGGCTTCACCAAGGACCAGATGGTTAAACACGAGATCAGGACCCTCTCTCACTTCACTGTGGTTTTCAATGTGCTTACTGTTAAATTGTCCAACTCTCTGATGCATAACAAGTGATTGCAAAGACCATGGCCTGTATCAGATGCACCTTAGTCTCCAGAGAGACACCATTGCTCTTCAGTACTTTGGAGAGGTCCCTAACAGCAGACTTTCCCATGGCAATATGCCTTTTAATTTCCTGGCTACTGGTGTCAAGAATGTTGACTGTGGAGCCAAGCAAACTAAACCTGTGAACAATCTCAATCTCTTCACCACCCATCCTGATGCTGCCAATTGGCCCAGTGGTGAGAATCTTTGTCTTCTTGACATTGAGTCTCAATCCCTTAGAGCTGTGGTGCTAGAGAAGAGTATTGAGAGTACCATGGACTGCTAGGAAAACAAATGGATTCATCCTGGAAAGGGTTAAATCGGGTGGCTCCTTGGAGGCAAGGATTCTGGGGCTTCGTCTGACATACTTTGGGCATGTTGTAAGGAGGGACAGGTCCTTGGAGAGGGACATCATGCTTGGGAGGGTGGAGGGATGGCGCTGGAGGGGAAGGCCCTCTATGAGGTGGATTGATTCAGTGACTGGGGTAATCGGGATGGGTGTGTCAGAGGCAGTGCGATTGGCACAGGATAGAGCAGGGTTTAGGGCTGTTGTACATAGGGTCGCTATGAGTCGCAAGCGACTCGATGGCACATAACAACAAACCACAACTGTTAAATTACACAGGGCCTGGAGCAAAACAGACCTAGATTAAATATCAGCTGGGTGTTGAGTACACCAAATCCACACCGGATGATACTAGCCAAGACCAAGGAGTGAGTACAAGCAAGCTGAGAGAGATCTTGGGGTCCTAGTGAAACCCTTCCCGGGACTCAAGTCTGGCAGAGGGATGCAGAGGCATAAGGAGTCTTAGGGAGGAGAAGCCCCTACGAAAATCAGAAGGACCCATTCAGCTCATACCTCCTCCTCCTCGTCCCCGGAGTCAGACTCTGGCTCCAGCGGCACATCATCATCCTCGCCTATGGTCCCGATCAAACCCAGCTCTTCAAACATGTTGCCGCAGTAGTCACTTGCAGAATTGAGCATGGCGTGCTGTCAGACCCGGGCTCCGCCGTCGTCACTGCGCATGCGCCACGAATCACTTCCGCTCTCAGAAAGTCTCCCGCCACGCCGCCTTCTACTGTAGAGAGCGCATGCGTGGGAGGGGTGGGCGTGGCTTGTCGGTGATGTAATCCGGGGCGGGGCTTTTTTACATCAGCAAGTTCCATTGTTTTTGTTCTCAGGAAAGGGAAGCTGGTGTCTGCTTGGGACTCCCTTCGCGGTACAAACCTAGGCAATCACCTGCCTTAAAAATTTACATCCTCTATGGCTGGGTTTTGGTATTCATTAAACAATGGAAATCTAAATAAGTATATCGAGAGGCCTTATGTTTATGTCTGAAAAAAAAGTTGTAGCCGGAAATACAATAACCGGTTATCAATGACTGTTTCTGAGTTATAGGATTATAAGTGCCTCTTAGTTTTTGTCACAATAAACCTTCATTTTCCCCCCATTCATTCTTTGTTGCACAAACGTTTATTTTTGTGATAAAAAAATAATAAAAATAAGGACAGCTAATAATATTTATGTAAAGAGCCTGGATGGTGTAAAGAATCTGGCTGTTACCTTACAGGTCAGAAGTTCAAATCCACAAGCACCTTGGGGGAAAAGATGAGTCTCCTGTAAAGTTTTACAATCTTGGTAACCTGACAGAGCTTAACTCTTGAGTCAGAACTACAGAGAGGCAATGAGTGATTAAGTGAATGTTTTTGTATCAATTTGTACCGAGCACTAATATAAATGCTTTTAGATTTATCGACTAATCATCAGCAACCCTAGGTGGCAGGTACTTTACTGTCTCTATTTCATGTGTGAGAATACTGAGGATCAGATGCCAAGATTACAGAGCTGTTACTATCAGTGGTAGGATCAGAATTCAAGCAGTGCTCCAGAGTATTCAGGAAAGGCGGTCTTAGAGTTTAAGAACTTTTATTCCCATCTCTGCTTGTGAAATCTTTTTGGTTTTTGTTTTGTTTTGTTTTGTTTGCCATTGGATGCGCTCTTTATATGTAACAGAATAAAATGGCTAGTTCTATCCAGTCTTCATGATCTTTGGCATGTTTGAGTTCACCATTGAGTTCCTTACAATCTAAAAGGGACATTTCCCCAAACTATCTCTCTCATTTTGGTGGAGCCATAATCAACTCCTAGTTGACCCTCCGCAGATTTTTAGAGGCTCTAAATTGCACGGAAAGAGATGGCTTATCTTTCCATTGTTTGTTGTTGTCGTCGTTGTTGATTGCCATCAAGTCAAGCAAGACTCATAGCGACCCTATGAACAAAAGGCCCAAATCCCCCTCTACAACTATGGACATTTATCAAAATTCATAGGGTTTCTAGAGGCATGCTATTTAGGAAGCGGATGCCGCTCCTCTATAGATAAAGACCGTGGTTTAAGCAAACACACAACAAAGTGTTAAGTAATCTTTGCTGTTGTTATTGAGACTATTCACAGCAGTATATGTACCAATCCAACAGTTTCCACATGTACAATTAAACTCATTGCTATCCAGAGGATTTTCAGAGGCTGCAAATCAAAAGATGTAGGAGACTATACATCTTCTGAGGAGCAGCTGATGAATTCAAAACTGCCTGTGATTGGCAGTGCAACTCCTACCCAGAGCTCCCTAGCCATCCCAGTAGAAGTGAAATGGAGTCTCACTGTGGTTTTAATTCACATCTCTCTGCTGACTAATGATGTGGAACATCTTCATATATGTTTGATAGCCAGTCAATGCCCTCATTGGTGCAGTCTCTTCAGTTGCCTTTGAATTTTCTCATACTCTTGGTGATCTCGTGCACAACAGAACAAAATGCTGTTCGGTCCTTCACCATCAACACAATTGGCATGCTCAAGTTCGTTACTGTAACCACTAAGAATTTTTAATAATACCTTCAAAGTTACGGAGCTGAGATTCTAGCATCAAAGCTACCCTTGTTTTTTTTCCCTCATTTCATTATTGAATTATTTGTCAGTGCTATTAAACTGCGCAAGTTTTATATATATTTTGGTTATTATGTTCTTACTAGACATGTGGTTTCTAAAGATATCCTCCTAGCCTGTAGCTTGTCTTTTCACTTTTTTGGCAAATTTTTTCTTTTTTTAAAAAAATTTTTTAATTCTTCTTTTTTTGTGTGTGTACCATCAAATCAGATCTGACTGGTACAGGAGGAGATTGTCCCTTCTTCTTCAGCAGAGCATCTGGTGGATTTGAACTGCTTACCTCGGGGATTGCAGTGCAACTTCTTGCCACTAGGCCACCAGAGCTCCTAAATTTTTTATTTTTATAAAGAGAAAGAGGGTGGGAAAGGAAAAGACAACAATTTTATTCTTCAATAAGCATTAAATAAGAATATAGTTCATCCAGGCAATCTGGTAAAGAGATTGCAAAACATAAAGAAATTATACTATCTGCATGCCCAAGTGAGTATAATCTGTATATCATTTTAAGATGAAATTGTTCATTTTCTGGTCTATTTATGGTTCAATGTGGGTTTGCAGTTTATAGAACTGCACTATTTGAAGTTATGCACATGGCCTCCCAGGTAACTGGGATATAGGACAAAGTGGGAGGTAGGGCAGGCAATCTTCCTTGATGATTACACTTCAAAACAGGTGATCTCTGGGTCCTTGGAGAAACACCTAGATCTACATACTTTTCAAAGAAACAGGAAAAATCTATAATTTGGGGTGTGTTTTTTTAAGTCAATAATGAAAGAACAGAGAATAAAGGAAGTCTTTTTTTCTTGGTTTCAGTATGTATTTGCACTTTTACTTATTTTCAACTTGCGCGTCAGTTCGTCTTGGAGGAAGGGGAGGAAGGGGTTACTCCTTAGAGGCAAAGCTGGTGAAACTTTGTCTCACATCCTTAGGGCATGTATTCAGGAGGGGCTGTTGTCAGAACTGAAGCATAGCTGACCCTCCAATGAGTTTTGCAGAGGCAGTAAATTACAAAGGAGGAGATTGCCAGGTTTTTCCTCCCACGTGGCATCTGGTGGATTCAAACTGGGTACCTTTGGGGTGGTAGTACAGCTCTTTACCACTAGGCCACTAGGAGGGGCTAGTTCTTGAAAAAGAGGAAGACCCTCAATGAAATGGATTGACCCAATAGATTTGAACTTCATCCCTTTGGGCTGGCAGAGCAATTTATTTAGCCTGTTGCCTTTTTTTTTTTAATCAGTTTTTTATTATTTTTGTGTGTGTGTGTACAGTCAAATCGGATCTGACTGGTACAGGAGGAGATTGCCCCTCCTTCTCCAGCAAAGCATCTGGTCGATTCGAACCACATACCTCTGGGATTGCAGTGCAGCTTCTTGCCACTAGGCCACCAGAGCTCACTGACCTGTTGCCATTTTTAAGGGAGTAAGCCGTTATGCTGCCAAGCCAAAGGCAGCAGTTCAAATCCACCCAGTGTTCTGTGGGAGAAAGCTAGGCAATTCCCCCAATGCAATTTATAGCTCTACAAACCCGCTGAAGGGTCAGTTATGAATCTGTTTCTACTCAATAGCACACATTATTATTTGTGCTTTTGTACTATCAGATAATCCATAGTTAAAAGCTAGGCTGGAAAGCATTGCCATTGCCATTTCGTCTATGAATTTTATGGTTTTCGTTGTCACTTTTAGGCCTTTGATGCATCTGAGATTTGTTTCTGTGTGTGGTGTGATGCATGCATGCACATTGTTTCCTTTTTCCACATGATTCTTCTTTCTCCATCAAATGGACTTAACAACCTTGACAAAAAAAGAAATTGCATGTGTGTGTTTTGTTTTGGATTTTCAATTCTAACCCATTAGTAAGTCTATAGTTACACCAGTACCAGGCTGTTTTGATCCCGTTGGTTCATTGATCCTGATGGTTTAGTGGTAGGTATTCTTCATTCACAGAACTCCATCTCTGAGGTCAAAGCATGAAACTCACCACCCCCATTAAAACACAGCTGAACATAGTTTGTGGTTCAACTCTGTTGCAAGCAGAAAGTGTTTATATGGAAGGAGCAAAATGCTATGAAGAAGCATGGGTAGTCAGGGAAACACAATACAAATAAAAAAATACAATAAAACAATGTACCATGGCAACAATGAATGAAAAGAAATCTAACTTTTCTGTAAACGTTCATTAAAACCACAATTAAAATGAAAAATTAAAAAGATATACCAAGAGGTAAGGAAATTTAAAAAAAAATCACACCCACCCTCTGGAGGGTTGCCTGAAATATTTCTAAGGAAATAATCTCCCCTAGATGAGCCACTTTTTTTGTCAACCTTGTTCTGATTCCTGCTGTCTAGAGACAAGATCACGTCCTCCTTAGAATCACCAAGGTGGTCTGTTTGGACTTGTGGAACTAGGAATGTCTTGCATCAGTTTACGTGTAATTGACTCAATCTGGTTACTTTAAACTATGTTCATTGAGATAATTTCATCTCCCTAAACAATGTCTGGTGCCCCCGGGCTCCAGTCTTATTATATAACTATTGTTGTTATTTGTTTGTTTGTTGTTTTAAATATGGAACGCTTCATGAATTTGCATGTCATGCCTGAGCTGCAGTCATGCTAATCTCCTCTGTATCGTTCCACTTCTAGGATACATGCTGCCAAAGTGAGCACATAGTTGTTCTTTTGTTGTCATTTTCCTTCATGTCAGCTTCGGTGGATGATAATCCCGTCCATTCACAGGGAACAAAATGTTCTGTACCATCTTCACAATCTTTGGTATGTGTCAGTCCATTGTAGCTGCTCAGTATTTTGAGTACTTTCTGAGCTATTCTATTATAGGATTCAGCTGCTAACATTATATCTAACAATATTCCGCTGAGATCCATCAGGTTTGTGTTAGGTCAATTTCAAAAGCAGGTTAACTGAATTTTCTTTCTAGTCTGACTAAGTCTAGCCATCACCCTAGATGACCCTGCTAATGTTTGAAATATTGATAGCATGGCTCTCAGTGAATCCAGGCAACCTTTATACCTTTACTCCCCAGGAT